AGCCCCGAATGAGATACAAAGGAATTCGTCACGTTGTCAATTTCGCAGTGCGCGAATCCGTCTGGCATTGGGTCGTCGAGATATTCCGGAGCAGGTGAGAGCACATCTGAAATGTGGCCGTCCTTCAAAACCACCGGGTCGTTGACATCTGGGCCTGCGAGGACGTTCAGAATATCGAAAGTTGCGTCAGCTGAGCAAGACAAACTAGCGACAGCCAGCTGCATAGCCGCGTCTTCGTCGCCGGGCGAGTTGTGGGATTTGCATTCGAGCAGGAAAGTGTACACACCTGAGGCTTCCGCAGTTTTCTTCTTCTCTGATGGTCGAACGTCCATAGAACTCTGCGCTGCGGCTTTCAGTGCTTTTTTCTCGAGCTTGGCAATCCTCTTTTGCTCTTTCTCCAACTACCGGTGCTCCCGTTGCTTCCACCTTGGTAGCCTCTTCCCTACTCCAGGGCACTCGTCAAGACAAGGCCGGCAGTTGCAGTGAACTTCGAGAACATCATACTCATACTACCGGTGATCAGTCAGCTGTTTTTCACTTCGAATAAAGAGATTTTACTCGCTCGTCCCTTTGCTTTGCTCTTTGACTTGCTCGGACTTGTCATGACGAAAAACGGGCGAGGGAAAAGGGTAACAGCAACAGGACTTGTCTCTTTTTTCCCTCTAAGTTCTCGACCGTTGCAAATCCCTGTTTACAACGAGTGTAATTGCGTTCGAGGATATATACTTACATCAAGTTTCCAAATGTTACTACAGGGCGTGCATGCATGGCATCAACAAGAGGTAGAAGATACGAACATAGCTCTCCTACCACACCTGGACTCGCGCCAACGGTCCTGCATTCGCGATGGTATTGTATATATAAGCAGAGAGGACATTGTCGTATGTAAGGTGAACATCTGTATTAGGCATAGGGTTGGCTTACACATGAATCCTCCGTATCCACACAGATAATCGCGCTGTCTAGAACCAGGCAAAACGCAGTGCTGTAGTGCCGCAGCAGTCGCAACAGTGCCACATCATTTTCCTCGTGCCCCCCTAAGCCGAATTCTAAATAACAACCAGCCACTTTATCCCAACTTCATCCAAAACAAACCCGCCACCATGCTCCCCGAGGAAACCAACATCACAACTATGCCAGTAGAGGACATGAATACTGCTATCACGCCTTCGGAGCAAACAAACCCTACTACTATGCCCTCAGAAACAACAACACCCGGACCCACCACTACGTCCCAACAGACAGGCGGGATAAAACTCATCAAACTCATCATCTTCACGTGGTTGATCGTCCTGGTGGCGGAAACAGTGATGTCTTATTCAACCTTGTCCACAGTGGACATTATTGTCGGTATGGGAGTGACCTGGTTGTTGGCAATCGGTCTCGCAACAACATCAGATGGCCGCATAGCTCTTAGTGACGACAGTGCCAGTCTCATCCTGCTATCCTTGGCTTTCTCCTCGCTATGGGTGGTTGGGGTGTCCAAATATGACCACGGCAACTTAGAGAATGGCGGAGGCGAGTCAGTGACAACATGCTCAGGAACCATTTACTAACGCTGTGGGTCTATCACAGGTATTGTGCGAGCAGCGATAGGTTTCATAGGTTTCATATTCTGGATAGGAGCATTTGGTGGGTCAGTTAGAGCCTGCAGGGATTGGAAGAGGCACAACCCACAGCAGCCTGGAAGTAATTCTGGATATGATGCCATAGTAAGCAATCTTATTCGTCATCAATGTCCAAGTTAATAATTCACTCAAGCCACAGGAAGTCATTTAGACTTGTCCAAGTGCACCCGGGCGAGCCGAGGTCTGCTGAGGAGAGTGACATTTCAAAACGCTGGTGGACCGATCACAAAGATCATGAGCGATTGATCCTTGACTGGTCTGAGGTGGTAACGAGGACCGCCTGAGGATAACTCTACATTCCGATCCAGCACGTGTAAACTAGAAATACACCTGAGCATTTCGTCTTTAGCACAACTTAGCTTTCGCCTGTTCACATCTTCTTTCACGCCCTCTCGAAAACATACATATACGCCAATTTCTTCAAATCCTCGACGCTCGTTCCATCCGCTCGCACAACCTTCTCGTCGTTGAAAAGAACCCAATCTCCACCACCATCATCCACATCCATCGCATCGCCTCTCGGCATACGAATGTGTGCAACATAGTGTCCCGAATGAACGCTTGGGCCTTTGTGTGATATGAAGGCCTTCAGCCTGTATCGAGCAGGCAAGCGGGATGAACCAGGTGGTGCCTTTGTGGCTTCTGAAGATGAAGTGGCGGGCGAGGTATCTTCACCAGTGTCATCGGGATGGTTAAATAGCCATTCGACGGCGCGTTCTACATCTCCGCCCTATGACGTTTTCAGAATGAGAGTCGAGACGAACCAGAAGTAACTCACAGTCTCCCTCAACGCCTTCTTAGCTTGCGCACTCGTAAAGCCCATATCAGCAAGCATCGCTACTTGCTCTGCGGGTGGTTCTGGTGCATTGCCATTTCCAGAACCTGATGTTTGGATGGGTGTGTTGATGTCTAAACATTCCGTTAACTAAGTTTCCGAGTGGGTTCATTTTGGCGCACCTGGGTCCTCCATGTGCATAATTAACCATTCCATGGCGACTTCAGCCCCAGCGTTGCCCGTTGAAATGAGAGCGTTCTGACAACTGACGGTAGGGAAGCCCATAGCCTCAAGCTGAGAGAGTGCTTCGGCGTCAACTTCGGGCTGTGAAGGACCTGAAGTATTGGAGCTATCTGGTAGCTCCACTTCGCCAGGTTGAAGTCCATGACCGAGGTAGTTATCGAGATTAAGTTCGTCATTCTCGGGAAGGATCACAGGTATATCTATGGTTCCCGGATGTTAGAATAATATCAAACGCCGGAACTGTCGGAGCTCACCTAGCTTCGTGGGGACCCAGTTCACAAGCTGGAACTTCTTTGCGTGCAACACCAGAACGTCAGGGAAAGTAGTAAACTGCATCTGCCTAATCCCACCAAAATTCAACCTTTGAGTGAACCAAATGCCATACTACATACCTGACGGCATGTACTTTTCCGCAGCCTCCCTCACACTGGTACTCCAGAGCTTCTTGTCCACTCGGTCCGAGCAATAGGTTCAAGCACTGCTCCAAAGAAACGGAACGGTACCGCTTCTTTCCGGGACCATCTTCGTCTGGGGTGCCTTGTTCCACCGCTCCCGGACCCGTATCCGCTTCGCCACCCGCGAGTTCATGAGCGGGTACACCAAGACTAAGGACATCCATCGTGTCCACGCGATACCTAACCCTGTGGCAGGACTGGCACTGAAGACGTTGCTCGAGGCCAAAGGCAAACGTTTCGGTTGGTTCAGATTCTTCTATACAAAAGTTAGCGAGAAGTGATGCTTGGGACAGCCCTTTGGTACCTGATACGCCGCGAGTATTTTGGTGATTGAATCGTCTAAGTACCGTCAATAGGTGACCGAAGAACTCTTCCGCATCCTGCTGGCGCATGGTGGCGAACTCAGCGTGTCCCTTACCAACGAGAGCCTTGAGTCCTGCTGGCTTCAGGCCCGCCTGCCAAGACGTATGTTCAGGTGTTGGGTGTGCGAGAGCGTTAGTCGGAGCTATGTAAACATGCGTCAGATGTCATGCACAGTCTACAATAGGATTGATCTCGTCTTTCAACATACCCTGTTCATGATCTGAGTGAGGCTTAGAGTACCGTCCGCTGAGTAAACCATCAGCAAGCTTGAACATCTGACATTCCAGGCAATCTGCAGGGAGGGCTTGAGTGCAGTTCGCCCAGTGAGTGGCTGCTCTCGGAGAGACATAAATGGAACTCGTGGCGGAAGGTCCTTTACCATAATAACGCATTTGGAAAAGGGGGAGTGAGAACAGAGTTTGGAGAACCGAGGCCATATAGCAACTGTGAGAAACGATCGTTGTAAATAACACTTCTTAAAAATCATATGAAACATGCCTGTTTCCGAGGTTACTGAGACCCGTAGCACCAGCACCAAAGATCGGCTGAAGCGCAGAACCGTCCTCGGCCGTGAGGGAGAAGTCAAACAGGAGATTTTGATCGATTTGCTGGTTTGAGAGTCAGATTTGAAATGAGAGCTTTAGAAGTTACTCACAAGTTCAGTCATACTCTTCTCAGTTTTCTTCTGTGCCGCTATATTGATACCAAAGGTATCGAGGTGGGTTGCAAGCTCTGGGTCGACACGGGCATCATTACATGCGTAGCAGTATACGTCTTCGAAATCTAGTCAGACACATATCACAAGGGCGCATAGAATGACTGACCAGCTCCGCCCTCAGGCGTAATAGTTCCAAGTTTTACGCATACAGGATGTTGGGTCACATTGAAATGTGCCAGCGCATGGCCGTTACCACCAGTGCTACCAAATTGGGCACGACCGCATCCAAGAGCACCACAAGTAAGGCAAAGCCAGAGATTTGAAGTGAGCTCGCAGGAGGCGCAATGAGCTAGACCTATGAGTTGGAATGAAAATACGCCCTTGATCGGAAGGAAAGTGTGATTACCTTCTTGTGGTATAGTCCCGCTCTGGAGCTGCTCCAGACAAAGTGTATGTTCGCAAGCGGTGATCTCCTCTTCCCATGCTTTAACTTCAGATTGACGTGCAGATGAAAGCGACAACATGACACCATCAGTTAGACGCTTGGTCTGTAGTAGTAATATCAATTGTGTCGATCAGACAAGTAGCAAGAGAGTATACTTGCATTTGCACCGTCGATCGCTACTTCTTTTCCATTTTGCAGATCACACTTCCAACACTTGAACACAGAGGTGTGCTCGTATTTGTCCTCTTCGCGCTCCTCATTTATGGCAAGCCTTTTCATTTTAGCCGGTGGCTCTTCTCCATCAGCCTAGCACGGTTATAGTGTACGTTGCACATAAATGCGTTGTCACTCACGCGATTCGAAACCTTCTTCTTCGGGGTACGCTTCACATTCAGAGTGAATGAATGTCCTGATCGGAGGAAATGGGTACGCGTATGATGACGATCTGAGTCGAGACATGATCCGTTAAAGCACAGCAAGCAAACATCGATGCCCGTAGGGCCATCCTGCATAGACGTGAACTCCGAATTTGTGTATCAGCCTCCTTAATCGACCCACCTGATTATCAAAGCATTGCGTACATTCCTCCCTATGAACTGACTGGCTTAGTTTTGGCTCTCTCAAGGCAGATATTTCGCGAGCATGAGGACAACTTGCAGAAGTTGACATCGTAGAAAATGCCCGTGTTCGTGGTCACTGGTGGTCGATTTGAAAGGTCAGAACTCGCAAGAGGTTTGGGACTTTGTCACGTGACCATCGCGCGTCAAGGGATTGTCGCAAGAGTCATTCCCACGATCGCGTACCATCTTGCGACGCTCTTCATACAGCCATACATGATCTGAAAGAAGGCAATCCTTGTTCTCGTGTTCACCAAACAAATAGTCTATCTCGACTAAGCCCGATTTCTATATTTACAGGATGTTTTACCAACATCCTCACAGTAAGTCTAGCCTGAAGAAGCGCTCTCTGGTTACGCACGTGAGTGCGGAGCGTTTATAGGGGAAGTCAAAGATCTGGACCTAGACTTCAGCAGACAGTTACAAGATTCTATACTCCGACTTACTGTTGCAATATGCATGGCAGAGTCAAAATCCACTTTGAGGATGGAAGCATTATCTGCTTTAGGCTCCCCCATGACATGTTCGGTGCGGGGGTCCGCCAAGAAGCAGTAGTGTATCAAAGCACGGTGCCACAAGTTAGCTAATTATTCTTGATAAGACCCCTCTTGCACGCAGTAGGATACAACTTACTTCGTTCGGTGCCACGGAACTTATCCTCTCCAACAAGGACATGGAGGCCCCTGTCCCAGTCCCCAAGACCGCCGGGAATGTAGGCCGCCACATGATTTTCCTTGCCTGCCATGTAAGCCCATTTTAAAGGAAAATTCAAGAAGCCCACCTTTAAATACGTGATCTCCGCATACCCCATGTGTTCGCCGTTCCAACTCATCATTACAGGCAAAACAGCAGGGTCATTCATTACGTTCGTGATATATGTTCTGTGCTTCTCCAGCGATCCGCGTTCTCCCCAGCCCCTGTTCACTCGCTCTGAATTGTGCCAACGATGAAACACATCCAGATGCTCTGAAGTTTCCGAGCCGCTCCTGAGATCAAAGTACTTGAACTCTAGAGTCTCTCCTATAGATGGACAAAATCGCCTTAATATTATCTCTCCCGGTTCGGGCTTCTGGGGACGGAGAGGGTGCACGGCAATGACGGTGGGTGTGCGGGTGAATGACTGGATATAAGGAAAGGGTGCAACTGAAAGTGGCGATATCGACGAGGGAGGTAACCAACCACGAGGGTGGTATCCTTGCGTTCCCGCACCTTGCCAGAACGTAGCTCTGTGCAAGTACATTTCCTCCTTTGAGGCTGTAGGCGCATGTGCCGTGCGCCCGAGACCAGATCGAAGTAAATACGAGCATAGCTCCTCGCAATTACTAATTTGTTGAGACAGTACGACCGGGATTGTTTCTTGAACGTGGTACAGAGTGAAAAGTGCGTACACAGTCGCCCACATATCTTTCACGGATATGTCGTGTCTAGGCGTCTGCGGCAAGCCGGATGAGGAAAGGAAGATCTCGATCACTGGGAAGGTTGGCACATGTGATGCTGTATGTTCGAATTCCGTACCGACAGCTGAAATGACGAGCTGTGCGGTTCGATCTAGAATACGATACTCACACACAACAAGACCATCGATATAAACCAATGTTGTCTGTGGTGTGGAGTCCACCAAGGCAGAACGAACCGTCATCACTGCACCATCTGGCAAGATAAACTCGTCCACCTTCTTGTCCGCGCTGACAGGATTGTCTGTGAGCGCATTTTGGATCGCTTGCAGACGTCGGACTGCGTGAACCATGGGGCCTTAGTATCCCGTAGTCAGAGCTTGAAAGAAAGAAGACGGTTATACGTTGATCTGATAAGATAAGTGTGCTAAAATGGCGTTCACACGTGACAGATTTTTTCTCGCCATGTGCCCTGCAAAGGATTTTTATCAGACCGTCCTCATACCCTTGAAACCTGCGTAGATCATGGCGCCCAACGGACTTATTCCCAATGGAACTGCAGAGGCTCCGATAGAGGTCCCCGCAGTGCCCTCTATTGTTGGCATCAATTTTGGTAATTCATATGCATCTATCGCAGTCTTAACCAAGGTGCGTTTGTTCCTGCTGCATCCCATAAAATCTTGGATACATTTTTGGACGACAGGAAGGTCTTTCTGAGTGTATAGCCAACGAGGATGGTGAACGCCAGATCGCTTGTGCCATCGCGTTTCATGGAGAGGAGATGGTATGTGGTATCCTATTTCGCGCTGATGCCACTTGCCCAAGTTTTGTCTTTTCAGTATATCGGAAACCAAGCAAGGCACCAGCTAGTCAAAAACTCTCAAAATACTATCACTGGATTCCGCAACCTTCTGGGCAAAAAGTGCGTTGTTTGACGATATCCATCATTGTACCCAGTCTGAGGGCATATGACAGGTTCTCCGAAGTACCACAGGCAGCTTTATCTGTCTCTGCGCCTGTCATACAACACCCTTCCATATCCGACACGCCAGCTTACAAGGTTAAGGTCCTGCAACCTGCACCTTCACCTCTTATAACTACCGCTACCCATACACCTGCGGCATCACAAGTTGCCACCCCACGCTCAGAGCCCATCGAGGTTGAGCGTATCCTAACTGTGTCCGAAGTGGCCACGATATTCCTCGGTTCGCTAGTGCAATCTGCAGAGGACTTCCTTGGGAAAAAAGTACTCGGTGCCGTAATCAGCATACCCTCGTGGTTCAATGACACCCAGAGAGAGGCGGTGATAAAAGCTGCAGAAGATGCTGGAATTCACGTTCTTCAGTTACTTGATGATGCAGGTGCCGTTGCCGTGTGCGATGCTGCAGGATCAGACGAGGTCCCCTCCGACCGAACGCAGCTCATCGTCGATCTTGGCGCATCATCCCTCGAACTGTCTCTCCTTTCTATCCGCGAGGGCCTCGCGTACTCACTCGCATCTCTCACTGACTCGTCTGTCGGTGGAGATGAGATCGATTCCAAGTTGATCAGATTCTTTGCAAAAGAATTCACCAAAAAAACCAAAACACCATTGGCTGTCGCACCAGCTTCAGATCCCCTTGATAAGCGGGCTGAAGCCAAACTCAGACTCGCAGTTGAGCACACAAAGCGTACGCTTAGCGCAAGCCCTGGCGCCGCTACATGCTCGGTGGAGTCGCTCAAAGATGGTCTCGATTACACCGGCTCCATCAACCGACTCCGATTTGACATGGAGGTGCGCTCGGTGTACAACAAGGTCTACACAAAGGTGAAGGAGCTTGTCGCGAGTGCGGGAATGGATCTATATGACGTCGACGAGATCGTGTATATCGGCGGTTGCGCATGCTTGCCGGGCCTGGATGCGACCTTAGTTGAAGGTTTCACCGAAAACGTCATCACGCCCTTCAAGGCTGGCACGGTCGCTGGCGGTGGCACTGGTGACCCAACCACTATTCTGGCACGTGGCTGTGCCCTCCAAGCGCAACTACTTGTCAACCTTGCCGGAGAAACAGAGGAGGTTCGCCAGGCATTCATCAAGGGTAATGGGACTAGCAGCGTCAGCGCTACGAGCCGCACTATCGGCCTTTTGGTCCCTCAGGTATCTGCAGAAGAGGGCAGCATGGGTGGAGTGTGGGTTCCTCTCATTTTGAAGGAGACACCCTTGCCATGCAGGCGCACTATCATTGCGGAGGTGAATGTCAGTGGGTCTGGAGATCAAGTTGGTTTCGAGCTCTGGGAAGTGAGCGAGGGAGTGAGGATCGATCACGTCAAGCCTCCAAAGATCGAAGATGATGAAGACGAGGACGAGGAGGAAGAATTAGAAGAGGTTAAAGAGAAGACCATCTCAAAAGAAGCTTTCTTGGCTTCATTGTCACTTTCGCCTTCCAACATTTCCAAAGGCAAGACGAAGGTTCAGGTGCAGGCAATCATTGGCGGCAATGGTGCTGTAGATCTCAGCATACGGGAGGTAACGAAGAATGGAATGGGAGAACCTGTGACGGTGACAGTTGGATCTTCATAATGGTACGTCTTGTGAGATTGCTGCGCCAAGGCATATGGACGTATGCATTTCACCAGGCAGGTGTAGACAGACTTTTCTACTGGATCTCACCGATATCCTCGTTCCATTCCTGCATATAGATCAATCATCGTACACATAATAGAACATTGTGACAACACACCTCCGGTTTTTCGACTATGAATTTCCCCATGAGTTCCTTGCATTCCGCATTATTAATCACAATGACCTCAACGCCTTGGCTTTTGAGTAGCTCTTCTCCGCCCACCCAGTTCTCGTTCTCTCCGATAACGACACGTGGAATCTTGTATAGTAGGATTGCGCCTGTGCACATACTACAAGGGCTATTCATCCGGTGAGTTATGAGTAATTAGTAGAGCTAGCACCGGATAACGATCATTCGCACCTCAAGGTCGTGTACTTCGTTCATACAAGCACCAACAAGATATCAGATATCGAATCATTCACATCAGAAGCCTCACCATCGTGGATCCTCTATACACTTCTGCCTTCAGTCTCCCTGCATCCTCCAGTGCGGCTATCTCTCCATGCAACGTAGCGGACGACTTCTGAATGCGTGAGTTGTGCGAACATCCCAGAACAACAGCATCTTTTGGATCCGTTGAAGACCCATGATAGACAAGGGCAGCGCCAATCGGGATCCCTCCTTCTTGATAACTCTTACGTGCCTTTGCTAAAGCTGTGGAGAGTCCGAGCTTATCTATACCGTCCATTGAGTGGTCTTGGAGTAAGGTGTTTGCGTTCCGTGTCCCACGTCCTGACAGGATGATTCATCGATGAGTGCTCACGGGACCTCGAGTCAGGGGTTAATTTCGGTCCGATGGTGGCTTGACGGTGGCAACAATTGTGTTGGTGAATATGGACATGCTTGCCTCGTCCTGCCAATGGAGAAGCTCTTCAAATCTGTCGTCTTTGGTTTGGTCGGGGTAGGACTTCTACCCTGAACCTTGTAAGACGGGGAATACTGCGTTCCTAATACCCAGTACATGATCACATGACAGTCATCACTTCTTTCACACTTCATAGTATTCTCTTTGGATGATGCTCTTTGGCAAGGATGGATGTGTCGTATCGTCTGCGGCTGCGGCACGACGGCTGATCACCGAATGTCCAGCATCTCCTGGCAAGTCGGACAGTACAATATGTAATAAATACAGCACATATACAATCAATAATACGATGTAGACTATATTAGAGCACTTGAAACTGTATCTCTGACCCCAATACATATATATGTTGTACATTCGAAAACTATGTATGGGTACACGCTGGAACACGTCATGATGGATATATAACTGGAGACACACCTCCGTCGTTACAACGACGCTACCATCCTCGCCATGACGTTCACTACTGCTCTGAACTCTGAATATCCTCCCGTCTCCGTGATGTCGGATGTGCACCTATCTTCAGGAATATCAGACACATTATCTGGGAATACTACATACCCAGTGGTTGCGTGCAATGTGTAGAAGGTCATCCTCTGTCCCATCGCACAGATACCACCATGAAGTCTCGGCAGGGTGGGGCCTGGCTCAAACGAAAAAAAACCGATCCTGGATCTGTTGATCCGCTCTCACACTGTCTACGAGGTTGTGCGTATGGCCGGTGGATTTTATTTCGAGGAAGAAGACGAGTAGGCGGTGATGTGACATCAGGTAGGTCACGAGGGGTTCTTCTGGAACAAAAGACTCCCTGGGAAGGCGAGGAATGGGACACTATGGCGCGACGGCATACCCATCTGACGGGCGAAACACTGCACCCAGGAGCTCGCCATACGGGCCGTAGAAAAACCTCTTGTCGACGATTGGGTGGCGATGAATATAAGTAAACTTGGTCAACCAAATCCCTGGGTGGTGTATTGGAGGCGCCATAACGTATCCCGAACCGCAGTAATAAACGCTACATCATGGATCGGACGAGGGAGTATAGCCAGGGAATACTCAACTGCCAAGCAAATATTAGGTCACTCGCCTATTAGAAAGGATATGAAAACACTTGACGGTGGGATTCTATTTAGGAGTAAGTATTGGAACGACTCAATTGTATTGGTATGTACGTAGACAATAAATATGTCGCTAGCATCTAGGCAAGAAAGAAGAAAAGAACAGACTCACCCTCAGGCCTCAGTCGTCGTGGAACGAATTGAGGGGAAGTGAATATTTGTATCCAGGTGACGTCATAGATGAAATAAAATAGTTTTGCATGGATTGAAGGATATATATTCTCTTTACGACAGCCCTGATGGCTCAGTTGGTTAGAGCGCAGGTCTCATATGTTAAATATGACCGAGGTATCTTCGGGCAATCCTGAGGTCGCAAGTTCGAACCTTGCTCAGGGCAGCTTTTTCTTCTGTTATGATCAGTTTTTGCCCCCAATTGGCGGAGCGCATATCGTTCTTTCGTCCATTCCCAAACAGTCAGGCCTAGCAGGACTCAGGAGACCAGGAAAGAGTTCGGGGTATGCGACGTCAAGATGGGGTGAGGGTTAGGCTGAGTACAGAATGCTCGCCCCCCATTTCAACCCTTCAAGTTATTTTTTGTACCAAGGTAAGTAGGTAATTACGGACTTGACTGACGATAGAGCAGTTTACGAAGCGAAAGATTAATCTAGCCCTTCCAGACCGAGTCTTTGTTTACGAAGACGGTGTTCTGAAGTGAGATAAGCTTGCCTCTCTTGTTCCTCCCGGTCTTGAAGTCTGGTATCGAACGGACAGCGTCAATTTCAATACCGTGTACATTACAAACGTATTCTTCGGTACGTTACTATAGGTTCAAGTTCGTTCAGTCAACAGTAGTCAGCGGACCATATTTGACTCCCCCAACCTCTGGCAACTACACCATTAAATCCTTGGTCTCAATCGCAAGGGCAACTGGTCAACACATGGACGGATGCGCATTATAGTTGTTATTTGGTCGTACACCAACTTGCCACAGTACCTGCATTTATGGTTCCAGCATTTCTTCGCAACTTCCCAACCCTCCGTGTTCCGCACGGTGGTTCCCATAGGTCTCTCGTCCATGTCTATGTACATGGCAAACTTCAACGCATGCCATGGATGATGGTCTATGACCTGGCGACATGCACAGCCCTGCGCGCTGCTTCCACTAGCGCACTTCATTGTCGATGCCCGTCACAAATGCGTCTCGCCGCAGGTCTATGACTCGGAGAAGATCATCGGTGGGTATACGCTTGAGAATCTGAACATGATCTTGCTGGTGGATGGAGATGGGAAGGCACGCTTTTACTGCGTGTCGGGGCTCTTCTTCCCGGTGATACCGCGCAGCAATGGCATATATTCATAAGGGATCTGCCAGGAAGAGAGGCAATGCGATAAGAGAGCGTATGACAGACATAGGTCCTAGCGTGTCGTATTTCTCGGCGGCGTAAAGCACACCCTCCATTTCCTTCAGGGAGTTCCGGCAGGGAACTTCCATTCCGCTAATCATACGGGAAAGCTTTTCGAGCACGCCGTCGTTCTCAATCAACCCGATGGGACTGGCCTCGGATGGTAGATTATAGCGCGAGCCGCTATCATCGACATTGGCCAGATAGAGCATAGATTAAAAGAAACCGCGTAACACGAATGAATGCATCCTTACAGTGTGTTCCTTCACTGGAGCGGTATACCACATCTGCCCCTGGAGAGTTGAAGAGAGGATGGTAGCTGACTGCTTGACTAGAGACATAACTAAAGTACCTCCATAAGTTGGCGTAGTCAGCCATTGAATTAGAATCGTTTATCGTTCAATAAGACGCAAGCATGTCAGAAGGGTGTGCTGAAGGTGGAAAAGTGTCAGAATCCTGCATGTTACACGACGACGCAAGGAAGAAATATGTCTACCGGAAATACAAAGGTGGGGAAATAATAAGTCAAATGAGAGCAACAAATCAACCTTACCCCCATGCTCGCACCAGACATGAAGATAAATGGCTTGTGTACGATGTTCATAATCTGCCCTGCAGCAATAATCCTTGTTACCAGCACTTATCACCGGGCAGGCAGAGAGTTGATGATCGGGTGAGGACAATACATATGGAAGGGTTGGCAAGGATGGTCGTGCTGAAGGCTGGACAACGGTGAGAGGGGCGTTCCATAGGACGCCTACGTGCTAAAGGTGGAAGACATGGGTGTGGCGGGTACCGACACTGACTCTGGAGAGTCGGAACGCTGGGAATCGACACTGCGAGGAAGGGGGCGAGGAAGATTAGGAAAAACGTGATGTATATCGTCGTCCATGCATGCAGCGTTGGGGTGTCATCAGCGGATCAGGTCAAGACCAGCGGTTGTGCCAGCACTTAGAACTCTTAGAGAGTGCAAAGTACTACAAAGTAAAGCACAGGCTTCAGAGCAGAGCACGAAATGTAAAAAAAATACATAGATGCACTACTGGCCACAAGTTCGCCGAACGTCCAACAGGTCTTGGCTCGGTTGGACCTCGCGTTGTCTGAAAAACTAAAATCACATTTTCGATATGCCCTGTCTGATGAAATCATGCTACGACTTGAACCTCTGTAAACAAGACAGACTAGAGGAAGAATATTAGACTCCCACAGCACGCGTTATTTCGACAATAATATCCGACAATCGCGTCAGAAGCGAAGCCGCAAAAGACGTGAAGAAGTTAACAAGCAAGCCAACGGAAATCCCAAGTGCAAATGGGGGAGACAATCCGAGGACATCGATATGGTCTGTCACGGTGAAGTGAGCCGTATGAGAAGGTCGCGTCGATCCAGTGTGAATGACATGTGCGAGGGCCAGTACTTCCCGCTGTAAACAAGTCTTTCGGGCATTGCCGATCACGGTGTACCAAATCTGACCACCACGACTTCAATTGCATTTTTTACGCCTGAGGTCCTTGTATCTGCCTTAGGGATTCGGAAATCTGGTAGATACAAGGAGCTCCTCACTTAAACAACGGTTTCCGCTGCTCAGCCAGACTGTACAGTACAGCACGTATCTTGTTTCATATTCCATATTCTGACTCATCTCGTATTGTAAATGTCTGGTAAACTAATGATCAGCGCGTCCCTTTAAGGCAACAGTCCGCAGCAATTGAATGAATGAGATCACACATGATCACCTCGTGTTTATGCTGTCTTGTTTTTGATTCAGCTCCATGGATGTGATCCAGTGGCGGAACAGGTCACGAATGGCCTTTCCTTCCTGAGGATCTTTGTCCGAATCAACGGACACAAGGCTTCCAAATCCTAGGATTACGGGACTCGGTGCGTGTTCCAGCTTATCATCCCTTGATATTTCTGAAGGAACTAGAGTGGCCGATTTGGTCTCCAAGCGCTAGAGTCGCACATAAAATGGCCGCGTCGTCCCCGCGAACTCAGACCAATTTTGAAACTATCCTCATACGCAATCACCACCTACACTTGTATCCACCATGACAACTAACGGCTCTCAGAATGGTGTCTCGCGGATGGTTCATCATCCAGATTATTATTTCAAAGACGGTAATATCACCTTTCTCGTACGCCACACTCTTTGTGTCTCTCGCTCGCATTGATCGCCACATGCGAACAGGTAGAAGACACACTCTTTCGTGTTCACAGGCACTTTTTCGAGTGCGAATCGCAATTTTTCATCAAGGAGTTTGCAAAAGCCCCCCAGGCAGGAACATCTGATTCCAGCGCATTTCGCCTCAACAAAGTGACCAGCGCCGATTTCGCGAAGCTGCTGTGGGTATGGTACAGCCCGTAAGTCTTTATTTCAATTTCATCCCACAGGCATCATAATTAACCACTGTATGCAGGACGTACAGACGCGAAAGCAAACCAAAAGACCATTGGCTCGTCGTCCTCGAACTCTCCACAACCTGGGAATTCCCTGAAATGAAGAAACTAGCCGTCGACGAGCTCCAAAACCTCGACATCGAACCCGTTGAGAAAATCATTACGTACGACAAATACAACATCAACAAATCGCTGCTCTTGCCTGCATTCAAGCTCCTGTGCAAGCGGCCGAACCGAATGTCAACCGAGGAGGGTGAGCAGCTAAAGATGCACACTGTCCTCGGGATACACGAGGCTCGAGAACGTGCGATCAGGAGAGCAGCGGAGAGCGGGTGTCTTAGCCCGACCTCCGCTGATGCAGATGACGAGGAGCTAGAAAAAATATTGAATGATGTGTTTAATCTCAACGCTCACGCCACTACTAGCCAGGGCACGCAGCCGCAGGAGCAGGTGCCTATCATTAACCCTCCGAAGCCAGGTGCGAATGGAACCACGACTAAGTCATCTGCCTCAGGTTCGGTACGTAAATGTCTTCCGTTTGAGATCGTGTGTTGTGCAACTGACCGAGGATAGTCGACTCAGGATGATAATAAGCAGAAAGGAGCCGACAATAACAAAGGGACGGTATGTTACGTGATTTACTAAACGTTCTTCACTGATGCTCGAGAAATATAGAAAAAGACCAAATGAGCGAGGAGTCGACATTGAATGATGATAGTTGCTCGATTGAACTCTGGACTTGCGCGATGGAGAAGCGAGCGGAGCGCGCGCTGGCCTTTTTATTCATTCCCACCTTCATCGAGTCTGTCATAACAGCATTAGTCACGTATATCGTCCTCTTTGTATGATAATTTGATTTCTTGATTCTTAAGCGCATGACAACCGTGACTGTATACTCTTCTGCATTACCGTCGAAACGCCACTCTGCTTTCGGATGTGGTCATTGAACCGTACACCCACTGACAGCACTGTGTTGCAAGCAGCTCTCTTCGTCTGGACACGAAAGTCAGACCAAGTTCAACGAGGCTCTCGTGGTCTCAGCATTGCTCGCAGTGTGTCGCCTATCCCCAATAATGACGTCTCGTTTCAGTTCTCTATTTGTACCATGCTGTGTTTCAAGGCTATTTTTTTTTGGTAAGCTTTGTAGTCCTGCAGGAGCTAGGCTCCCTCTGTCAGGAACGTAGTCGTCGGTTCTGCCTCAAGCGTCTTCGTGCTACCTTTCCCGCGTCCGGATCTCTCTGACCACTCAGAAACCTTGTGTTCTACTCCGAAGGCTGGTAGGTTTCGCCAAGTTCCAGTTCCCTCATGTACTTAATGTGCCTCCGTCATCGGCAGCTGACGACTTCCAACCTTCCAATCCAGTGGTGTTGCGCAGTAGAACCCTTCCACTGGCCAGTACTTACAACGCATATGTTTGCAGGCAACTTAACGTCACCAGATCCAGCTCGGATTTCTTCACAGAATGCGAGTTCCCGCAGCGGCAACGTCATAGTTCCCCTTCTACTCCGTCGGAGATACTCGTGTTGTGCATTCAGAAGATTCAGCGCAGGTGTAATTATAAACGCGAATACGGTGCCAGTAGACGCCAGGTATGAGTCTTTAACGCGCTGGGTTCACTCCTTCCACTCCTTCCAATTGCTATGCGCCATCATTTTGTTCTCCTGCGGAATCCTGACAGCCAAGCACACCACCCCAATCAAGATTCCCAATTCTCGGAGCCCGGAACCGGGAGCACCGTACATCAAACAGGCGCCAATGGAAGACATGGCTAGCTCAATGTAGCTTGGGTGTCTCACCACTGAGCACAGTTTGCTTCTTATGAGCTTGTGTCCGTCTCGGATAGCTAGCTCATACGTGAAGGAACGACCCAGTGTTCTGTAGCACTACCAACGAATGTAGCCCGACACCACAATCCGAGTTATCAAGCTCCCAAAAACCGATTCCGTAGTGAGTTTGCTTGCCCTAGTTCCCCCAGGGCACCCACGACTCTTGGTGGTATGCAATGCTGGCAGGATATAACGCGTCAGAACGATTGCAGTCTCAGCAGCAGCCACTAGCCATATTGTACCCTAACTGTTCGTCACTGGGCTCGCATCCGCTCGAATAGGCACAGATTTCACCTTCAGAAAGCGCAGCACATTCGGGTGTGCTCAGAGAAGCCTCTCCATTGAATTTGGGGTCACCTACCCGATCTCCTTTGGCGGCATCTGGAGCGGTGAAAACCAATTGCAGCTGTAAAAATAAAGGGGAGCTTTGCGAGGGATGTCACGGGTGATCGAGAAGTGCTTGCCAGCCAATCAAGTTGTATGCCATCAGATTCATAAGTTAAGCGCTTGCTTAGCATGTTCCTGCATTCAATATTTTTAACATCAAAGTCGGTTTGCAAGCGTAAGACTCTACTAGTCGACGCCACTCGAAGGGAGCGTTGTGTTCAGTACCAGCAGTGCTCAGCTTTTGACTGGAGTCGACTTTTATGACAAGACATAATCCTGAGTATTCTGACTGGGTGATACTTGAGTAGTAGGCTGATAGTATAAGGTGAAGCGAAGTTGAAACGTACGTACGTCAATCCGGCTGGAAGCGGCTTTGCAATTTGAGTCTCCATGACTCGCTTTAGTTCTCTTTCATTACTAAGCTCCTGCCCAGCGTACTCCAACTCTGAGGCAACACTAATACGGTTCAACCCCAGGAGCGCTTTGGTTTGTGACTCCTGTAAAAACCATGAAAGAACTGTGCGGTAATAAGCGCTGTGGATAAACAGCCAGGTAAAACCTCGCGCTGGTCATGTGTAGGCCTCGAGGCAGACTGTCACCTGAAGCACTGGCAAGTCAGGTAAGTGTGCGTAATACACACCATCTGGATTAATGACATTGCACAACATGATCTTGGAGGACTGAAGTAGGTTTGCTAGGGTCGCTTCAGCTGAGACAGGCGCCAGTGAGGCCTTCCACGTATGATTGCATTGCGAAGAGCAAATAAGAGCACGAACGCCATTAATTCTGTCGCGCGGTCCACGCATTGCAAGTTTATTCGACAGGCTGATACGGCCAGGTCGGAAGGAGGTGACAGCAGGTTCCACGAATTTCGACAGCATGTATTGTCACTGCATTCGCTGGATGCTGGGTTCTAGTGCTGACCAAGTGGCGACTTGTGGGGGCTGAGGGTGCTTCCAATGGCCAATGGTGCGCACGGGAGCCTCACGAATCACATATTGGATCGCGCGAGTGAATATCACCTACATGCCATAGACAGACTCACAGTCCAACCGCGTCACCGGTCCTCCCGCCTTCTCGAGTCCTCGTGCTCATTTCCGTAATCACTGGCCGCTCACCCTGTCTCTTGCTCCGCAACTTCTGGCTGATGCATTTGTTCATGATGGCTCAAATTACCGATTCATGTCAACAAATAGAGGTCTTTGTATGTCTCCTAGCATGGGTATCCGATCTATGCGGGACTTCCTTTACGCGATGACAAGGCTCTATCCATGACAATACATAAGAAACCTCGTACGAAGATGCTGATCTGAATTGCGCAACATCTACCTATGACTGGCAGCATACCTTTCGGAACTTTGTTATGGGTAGCTGCGAGACCTCTTCTCAGACTGTGGGTTTGATTACCTTCCGTTTCATATTGCGCTGAATGTTCGTTAGTTTCATATGCGTAGCGTGTGGATATGGCATTACAAAGGCTGATTGTTTTTCTGCAAATGCGGCTCGTGGCGCTGGGCAAGTGGTTTTGGTCAGTATGTCCCGTTTTTTCTGGAAGAATGGAACTGAACGACAGGATCCAGAACATTACTTTGCCTAGCATGATTTTCTCGAGGGCTGCATCCGTTTTGAACGCGGAGAATGATAAAGCTTTGGGTTCGTTGTTTTCCTAAAATGCGCTGTCATATTACAGTTGACGTATATGCACATGCGCACGATTTCTTCAGGACCGTTGTTCGTGATCGCGATCATCTACATGGCGATGGGCTTCGCGTTATCTCTGTCTATCAAGAAATTTTTCTGGGTTCCACACCGGTTTCGGTACGGTGTAATTGTCGCAGGAGGTTGGGCGGGTATCGGTGACATAAGTAGGAACACATTTTTTATATTTCGTGACATTCGCTGACTGTGGCATCTCGGGATAGCGAATTCGGTCATAACGGACATGATGGCCTCCTTCCCCTTCGACGGAGAACACGACCAGGACCTCGCAGTAGCATACAGTAGCGCGTTTTTTCTCATCTTCTACGTGAGTTCTGCATAGATTTTGTTGTATACCGCTGAATTGCACCATAAGATATCATTATTTACGTTCGGGCGCAAGCTGATCGAGATGGATTTTACTGGGCCTGACATAGATGACAGGGAAGTACAGCAGCTACGTTGGGCCAAACGTTGCGAGCTGCTGGCGGGTTTTTTACGTCATGTAAAATGCCTTCTCGGCGTACCCTCTTCCGAAAACGACGCGGAAGCGGGGGGAAAATATGACCTAGAGGCACGCAAGGTAGATGTCTACAGTGATCTAATGACCGACAAAAGTCTCCCGCCGCAAATATTATCGCTGGAAGATTCGCAGGCCGTTTCCGCTCTAGCGTCGTCACCCACTGTGCAGCACGACATGCTGTCGGGCCGACCCAATTTGGCCATATGCGATGAACTACATATCATACCACCATCCACAGAGAACTCCTCGGCAAACCAACCCCGCCCTGTCATGCAATACACGTCCAGGTTCCTTAACTATCTTTTATCCCCTGTCTTTTCGTCCATGGTCGTCTCCCTCATCGTGTCTAGAATATCGGTTCTGAAAGCCCTATTCATCCCTAATGTATCAGGAACAAACATTCCGCCAGCTCCTGATGGGCAACCACCACTGGCATTCATCATGGATGCAGCAACATTATTGGGAGATGCCAATTCTCCTCTTGGAATGATTATTCTTGGATCTGCACTTGCGAGGATGAGTATTCCTCGCAGACGCTGGACTTCACTACCTTTTGGTGCCATTACAGCTCTTGCTGTCGGCAAGCAGCTTATCATGCCAGCCTTCGGAATTCTTATCTGCGACGGCTTTACTCGGACAGGGTTCATTGACCCTGAAGATAAAGTGTTCAGATTTGTATGCATGTTCGTCTAATTTTTCTATGCGCTGCATATGCTTTTAGTTGACCGGGTCATAATGTCATATAACAGTTTCGTATCATGTCTACCCATATCATCAACGCAGGTGAGATCTTAACAGAATGTCTCTTTTGTATGCTAAGGAATTATTTCCAGTTTCTCCTGATGCAAGCATGCTCGGACAGTGACACAAGTACAACAGAGCACCTCGTTGCATTCCTACTGGCACAGTATATTCTTATGTTTTGGGTGACGACCATGTTGATGGCCTTTACAATCAACCTTCTCTTTGGCTAGACGGCTACTTTTATGCCTGGTGCACACGAGTACTGTACAGGAGGTACTTAACCCCTTAGATGATAAATATCTTACTGCACTGTTGAGGCTGAAAATTTATATTAATGTATTTGGACATATACGACGGCATGATACATCTAGATTTCATGTGCCGTTGGTAATTATGGTGGCCTCGAGGGATGAGCGCTGGCGTGTCATGCAATGCCAATTTGTAGTTCTTCAGGAGTCATATAGACGAAGTTTTCAGTTCTTTTTTAAGTGTCCTCGTGGTTTCCCGCGTTCTGATTTCTTTGTTCTGTATTTTATGTGCCCGGCAACTTCCGACCTTCCAATCCAGCAGTGTTGCCTTGCCTCTGGCCAGTACAATCTCCTCCAGAGTGCAAGTTTCCTCAGCAACGCCATGGTTCCCCTTCTTCTCCGTTGGAGATACTCCAAAGAGAGTTGTGCATTCAGATGGTTCAGCTCAAGTGTAATTATGAAAGCAAACATGGTGCTAGTAGATGCCGGGTATGAGTCGATATTTCACGCGCTGGGCCCACTCCTCCCACTCCTTCCCAATGCTCTGCGCCATCAGTTTGTCCTCGTGCGGAATCCTTACAGCCAAGCACGCCACCACGATCACCATCAACGCTGTCCATATCTTCGCAACTCCACTCACGAATGGCAGGCCGAGAATTCCTGATTCTCGGAGCCAGGAGCCAGGAGCACCGTATGTCAAACACGCGCCAGCGAAAGATATGGCTAGCCCTGTGTAGCTTGGGTGTCTCACCACCGAGTAGGGTCCGCTTGTTATAAGTTTGTGATCGTCTCGGATAGATAGCTCATACGTGAAGAAGCGTCCCAACGTTCTGTAGCACTTCCAACGAATGTAGCTTGACATCACAACCATCAAGCTCCCCAAAACTGATATCGTAGTGAGTTTGCTTGCGTCAGGGGTCCCTAGTTTCCCCAGCACATCCGCGATTCCCGGCGATATGTGATGCGGCGGAATGTAACGTGTCAAAATGACTGCAGTCTCAGCAGCAGTCACAAGCCATATTGTACCCTAGCTAGTCGTCAAACTCATGTCTATTTCGAATATGCACGGAGCTCACTTTCAGAAAGCGCGGCACGAGCACACTAAAGGGTGTGAGAAGTCTCTCTATTGCACTTGGAATCACGACCCGATCTCGTTCAGCGGCATCTGGAGCAGTAACAGAGATATGAAAACCAACTGCAGCTACAAAAATTAATGGGAGCTTTGCGAGGGACATCGTGGGTGATCGGTGAGTTAAGTGCTTATCGTGTGTCATATATAGGGGAACACATAGCACGACCCTGCATTCAATATTTTAAAGTACTACCAAAGTCAGTTTACAAACGTAAGATTCTACCAATCACTTGAAAGGAAGCGTCGTGTTCCGTGCCAGCCTGCTAAGCCCTTGACTAGACTTTCTATGATGAGACAGAATCATCCAGAGTATTCTGTAATTACCACCTAGTAGTAGACAATGGTGCATAACTGGGCACAAAGACCCGCTAATATAGAAGATAGCCGAGAAGAGGATCGGGTTAGAAGCTCATGGAGATGGTGAGTTGTCCCACCTGGGCGTGATATACGAACCATATATAAGCTGGGAGCGGCTTATCGTCATGACTCGTTTTACTTCTCTTCCATTAGCTCCAGTCCAGCGAACTTGAGTTTTTAGCCTGCACTGATATGACCCTGTTTGACCGCGGGAGCGATGTGGTTTGCGACCACGATGATCCATTCAGACGTCGCAGCCCTGTAAGCGAATAAAGAGCCAGGTAGAGCCTCGTGCTGGTCATGTGTGGGCCTCGAGGCAAGACCCTGAATCAAGAATACACACCAATCGAATTGGTCGAAGTTCCACTCTCAAAGTGCTTTTGAGCAGTTCGCTTTTGGTTTAGTTCGGGTTTGCATTCGTAAGCACACATTTTTGGTTATGTGTTCAGCATCTCCACCAATCGCATAAGTGCGCTACTGAAGTCGTAAGCGTTCATTTCAGTGGTTTTGCAGATGGCGTCATGGGACACAAATTTATAATTTCCTTTACTCTACCAATATGAGTTTTGTGTGTTCGGGCTTCGGGACACGCCAACAGATTCTGCAACAATTATTGTCATCTGAATGAAAGCTGAATGAATAAAACAGTGAACCCGCCCCCTCAAGATGTTGCAGCCCCTGCTAGGGGCGTCCCCGCATGTAGCTTCCCCATTTGCGCCACCCAGCCCCCACCACCCCAATATTACCATTGCCGGTGTCACAGTCTCCCCATGGCGTTGGAGGCTCTCTTCATGGACGCATCGGAAATGCTATGAAGAGTTTCGGGTCTCGATCAAAGAGAGAAACTGTGGGCGCTGTCGGTCAGCAAGGGTCAGCATGACGTCGACGAGAACTAGTACATACTAGTATGGATTGAATTTAAGAGTTGAAGCTTTCCACGTAGGATTGCGAAGAGCAGATGAGAACATCACATCGAACGCCTGGCAGTTCTATCGCGAGGCTGTCAGTGGCTATGCCAACGTTAGTATGCACAGTACACAAGGTAGGCTTGAAGCTTGAAGATTGAAGATTGATCCGGTAAGAGCGAGCGCAGAAGAAAACGAGGTATAATTACGTAATAGGCTGATGGCGTAACTTGAAATTTTTAAATGGTAAGTACACTTGTTAGGAGTCGTTGCTTACCCATCCAGCCTGCAGCCTTAGCCACTAGTACTAACGTACGCGCGCGCTGGGCAATACTGTCCTGTCTACTAGACCAGATTCAATTACGGTGTGTCTCACCAAATTGCTCTCACGTCACATACCAATAGATTTCCTATGTCCTTGGTGTATGCTGACCTCGAGCCACGAGCGCTGCATGCTCGGTAGCGGTCGCCTTAAACCTGGTGTTGATACACGCAGCCACGTCGTTATGTAAAGATAACAGGATGAACAGACGTGTCCTCTCAACTTCACCATGACCTTCCTAGTACACTTGACTATCCTGTTTCTACATTGCGGCGTTTGTTTGCGCCTCACTGCCGAGTCTCAATTGTACAAGTATCCGTATACTCGACGTCAGTGACTGTCCATCCCGCAGTAGCACCAGAACCTTGTGGGACATCATCTGGAGCTGCGCCGCAACTCTGTTCGCATGTACTTGGACTGTGATTCATCCGAATATTCCGGGTATGAACGAGGGGAAAGTTGCCATCACCTCTCGTCGTTGATTAATTATGGTCATGGCTTTGATCGCACCAGAACTCATAATCACCTGGGCTGCGCGGCAGTTTTTCAGTACTCGTGCAGCTGCAAAGGACTTCAATGATGTCCTTTGGTTCAGAGCTTGCCCAGGCCCACGCCGGCAGTCTGAATATATTAGAGAGTACAGCTGCATCGGTTGGTGAAATTCCAGAATCAAATGAAAGACACAGCCGAAGCCCAAGCACTCCTGCCCAAACCTTCAAGGTCTAGAGGTTAGTGAAGTACATCCTCGGACTTGTCGGTCAACGCCGAGCGGCAACTGAACATTCGACCGATGCCTTCGCAGGATGGACGGTGGTACATGGATTCTTCGCGTGGACGGGTGGATTCATGCTTTATGTCGCTAATAAGCCTCGAGCCACTCTTACACCTGATGAGCTTCTGCAATTTGTTCGTGGAGGATCCGTGGACATGCTTGTCATCACAGAGGCAGACATAGAAGATCGAAGCAAGAGTGATATACTATCTAAAGGCATCACTGTGCTTCAGCTGGTGTGGTTCGTTCTCCAGCTTGTCACCCGTTACGTCCAGAACCTTTCGATAACACTGCTTGAAATCGACACCCTAGCGGTAGCCGCTCTTACCTGCATTGCCTATCGTTTGTGGTGGAAGAAGCCTAAGGATGTGTAACGTCCTTATATCGTTCATTGGAAAATAACAGTATCATCATGCAGTTTAACCTACGAGCATGTCATCAGTGTTCTTGCCTGAAATTGCTCTGATTCGCATGCATTCTAGCAAGGCATTTTCAGCATTCTCCAAGGCAGGCTGGCGTCTATGTTTGCTATATCTCATCCGTCTTTTTTCAGTCTTATGGGTGGTGGTGCGGATATTTCTCCCCATGCTGTCCGTTCACGTCGGGTTTCATTGTAGGTGGCTACGGTAAATATAATGGTGACATCACACTTCTCATTGGATGTTTTAGTGGGATGGTGTTTCAGATGCACGCGGAGTAGATATTATGGCGTGCGGCTTCTCTTGTGATGGCATGTGCACCGATATACCTGTTCGGCTTTACCTTGTTCGATGAGCATGCGATATGGAAACATGCGTTGGGGCAGCGAATCGACCGCTCATTCCTTTGGCAACATATTCTTCCATATTGCTTTGCAAGTACTGCAGTTATCAGCTGTCTCGCATATGTTGCTGCACGTGTTACATTACATAAATCAGTATCCAACGACATTAATATTGGTCTAACAACCACATATCTTTCCCCACGCAGTATATGTGAGCCAAGGTTGTTTGGTGTCCAATTCAAGTGCGTTGCCCAAAAATGGCAAGGGACGGGGACCAGGCGGCAGAGGTAAAGGGCAGACACGTCTGCGAGTCAGGCGCAAAGCGGCAACTATGGCAATAACACACGGGATTCCTAAAGCGAGAATATGACTTAAGAACATCGGGAGGGATTATAGTCGACAACATGACATGTTTGTTCGTTCGCCTTATAAAGGGGTTTTCAATATCCGACAAAGTAAGTTAGAGGTCAACGTTCAACGCCATCATACCCAAATCATGCTAGGCAGTATTTATCAAGTACTCATGTACCCATCTATGGCTAGAAATTTGTAAGGACCATATTCGCTCAAAACAGGTCTAAGCTGTTCACCTATGAGATGCCGTGCTGTCTTCGATACATCCTTTGTCTCACTCCGGGACAAGTATAGCCTTGTCGTTTCGCTATCTGCAATCTCTGTCGAGAAATCATATGCTCATGCCGTACATACCAGGTCACAAACCTCAATGCAGAAGCCATGATTTTATAGCAATCAGACCGCTGTCTGCATACTAGTAGGCCTTCATGTGGCGTGTTTCATTATGCACGATCATTTCATAACGGAGTCAGGGTGTTCAGATATTCCCACCACTTACCACTGTGGTATGTATCCTTGAAGATCATGGGAATGCTTCGCCAGTTGCATCGCTCTGCTACACATCTAATTGTGAGGCATCATCCGAAGAAGGACCTGCACTCTTCTGTGACGACTCGTTCAATGACATGCTTCATAAGGCGGAACGGGCCTACTTCGATTTTTCGATTACGGAGACGAAGCACTGTTCAATCATATGTCGTAATAGATATCGAGAATACACCACCAAGTGTCTACTTCAAATTCATCATCGCTCGAAGCTGCTCTTCCCTCGCTGTATTCACGCTTTCAAACGAGCACCGAAAAGGTTTCGGTTGACTTCAGACTCAAAGTTAGCCGCAGGTTTCGAGCATACATTCTAGGTCACTTACATCACCAAGCCTGTGGTAAATTCCGGTTTCACCTCAATCCTGTCTCCGTTAGAGTCGTTGGCATGATCAATGCGCAAGACGGCGAGTATGGCAGCAGTCGCTGTCCACAGACCGTTCTCCGCAAACCAACGACCTGCCAAGGGTATATGTAATTCCTAATATTACCAGATGAACCATTAGCCTACCAGGACAAATGCGCCTGCATCAGTAAAAAACCCTAAATGCCATAGCCCGAGTGACAGCTATATAGCACTATGTAGGCACAGTAGCACTATGTAGTCACACCTTACACTACATTGTCCTATATAGTGTTATATAGTCTAAAGGCAAGCTATATGCGGCTATATAGTTACCACCCGTGCTACAGGTAGCTACAGGTAGCTACAGGAGCTACACGTCGTTGTATCTAATTACTTATAACACATGCGCAAAACATTTCGCCATCGATGAACTCGTTGAAATAAAAATCGTTCGCCACCTCGTATGCATTTCCGCTTCTCAACCTCAGATCTACTGTTGGTCCCATCTTCGGTATAAGGTGGCACGGCCGCACGATTTCGTCAACGTGGATTACAGCGGCGTTGCGGCAAAGTTGTCGTGTTGAGCGCGAGACCTGTCGCATTCGAGAAACAGGGTCTGGTGGTTTGAAAGGAGTGAACCACTCGACGTAGGCGAGGGCTCTGGAATATGCGCCGAACTGGCGAGGTAGGGTGAAAATAGCGCGAACTTGGGCTACACGTACACCTGCAACAAGACGATTATCAAAATTGACCGCTGAGAAACCCGGAAAAAAAATACCTTCAAGAGTATGGAAGTTAGAAGAGCGAGGCCTGTCTGCTATCAAGGCCATGTCAAACCGGGCTGGGATACCAGGCTTCCGGCCTGACGGCAACATTTCTGGTGTTGCCCTGATCCGCCTTCGCTGTGGCACGTCGCTAACTCGTAAATCAGGTGGCGTCACGATCACCACTTGACGATAAAGATCGAATCGGTCTTGAAGTCCAGGGACTATGGTGTTGCGCGGGAGATTCTTGAGCAAGAAGGATCGGAGAGCAGGGAGGAACTCGGTAGCACCGTGTGCTGTTATGATGGTTCCAACGGATTGGTGAGGATGTGCGGGGGCTTTCGCAAGGACATGTGTTGCTTGAAGTGGTTCAGCGGCGGGAAGATTTGGTGTTTCTGACTCCGAGTCCGTGTCCGAATCTGCGTCGAAGTTGTATGGGTTTGAATGACATCCGGTGAGACCCGCAGGTGACTTGGAGCGAGGCTGTTGGGACAACCAATCCAGGTATGCGCTACGTAAAAATACGGCTTCTTGGCGTTGGAGCCACAAAGCCATTTGTTCTTCGTAGTCCCGTTTGTTGCTAGCACGGTATGAATCTTTTGCGAAATCAATGTGTAAGCGCTCTGGAAGTTCAGTATTAAAGCCGTCAGCTGCGCCAAACAACGTGATCGACTGGACGTAATGAGAGAGCTGGTGTAGTTTCGGAATGTTGAAATGCTCTCGAACAGCGAGCCTCCTTGAGGATGTCTTTGTTAGTGTGAAATACAGTCAGGGCGGTTTGTAGGGCTTCGAGGGACTCAGTCGTCTGAACTTGAAGCTGGGCAAAATACGAGAAGTCGAGAATAGATCGTGCAACTACCAAAACACTGACTGCAAGGCATGACATCAAAACATCATCTTAACGACTCGTTAAACACTCACCTAGGTACTGCTCCGCTCAATAAGCCAACAAATACTCTCTGCATCTCTTTGTGTTCACGTCCCGTCCACTGCTTCACACTCGATATCCCTTTCTTGAAGTGTCGAAGGCCGGGATAATTCGGGATCGCCTTGAAACGTGAGTCCATTTCATCCTCCCCAATGATATCGATGCACCACTTCACAAGGTGGTCTTTGAACACACCCTTGTGAAGTTGATGCAAAAGGTCGGGCGTGAACGCTAGAAAAATGTCCGCGTGAGGGAGATCAGCCCAAAATGGTTTGTAAACGGCACGTAAACCATTGGCCTCGAATTCCGGAGGATGCTGACCAATCTTGCGCCTGTGCAAAATATCTTTTGTTGACTCTGGATCACGCATTGCCTGAGTTGAGTGCATCCCCTCGCTCATTTGCTGCTACAAGGCACTTCGGACATCGGTTCTCTTTGCAACAACTGACCAAGCACTGTTCCGGGAAATCGGCAACGTATGCTGCAAGAATTGGGTAGACACGACGAACCCACGAGTCCGCACACACCATTTCAACACCGTCATTTCCAGCACCGATGAGAGGTTCAAGCAGTAGAGCCATGCAATGGTGGAACAGCCTGTATCCAGCCAAGGAGCGTGCATCGGGGGTGAAACAGTCCAGTTTGCCTGCTGGTAAGTAACCAATCAGGACTGTTGCTCGTGCTGATGCTTGGCGCCGTTTTGCTTTAGTGATGTTTCCAATGGACATATACACCGGCCACGCCGATTTATCCCCTCGGAACTGCGACAAGGACGTTTTGTCTGAAGATAGAATGATTGGTGCTATCGTGGCACCTTCTGGCAAGGCTTTCTGTGTGCGAGGTCAGTCCGTTACTTTGTTGCTCTCTCTCAAATAGTCTTACCTGTTTATCGCCCCACCAGTCTGCTGTCCACATCTCGTCGATCACCCTATCTTGCCCTGCACGGTCTGCATATGCTTTGGCAGGTGAGTAGGCCATATCTTCTTTGAAGGCAGGGTTGCCAATGAGCTCTTTCACGCACTCTACAGGATCGCGGCACCACAACTCAACCTCCTCTTGCAACATCTCGCCGTTCTCATCCTCGCAGTTACCACGCACAGTCACCTTCTTACAACTCCATCCTGGCCCGTGTGGAAGTTCGTCCACGCACTGCAAGAATGAGCAGTTGTTATGAAACGAAAGTTTCAGTGCGGTTTTGTGTCTGGTTAGGGTATCAATATTGTAAGTTCAAATTTTGATTAACACTTTCAAACTTACAATGGGCAGTTTTAGGAATTCGTCGGTTCGCGTCTGACCGAGGTTCTTGACGAGCCACTGGGCCAGATCCCATTCTTCCCTGGTGAGTGATATTAGTAGATGCTATGCCAGCGCATTCGAGCACTTACGCATCCTCGAAAGGCGACCATGGATCCTCACCCTCTTCCTCTTGGTACGTTCTATATCTTTCAAAATTCGTCTCCCCCTCACGCAGTGCCCAGCCAGCATCCGACTGAGGTTCGAAATATCGCCCGTTATTGGGGAACAACATCCCATCCTCATCCTCGACTTCCTCAACTGTAGTCCGTCGAGTTTTGCGGAGCGCTGGGTTATTGTCGGTATCTGGAGACGGGCGCGAGTGTACATGACCCGCCGGTGCTGCATCTTGATGGGGGAAGTCAACATCTGGTGCGTCGTCTAAGTTCTCTGCCTCTACATCTTCGATCATTGATGCCCACTGCCGTCGACATTCAGGACGTCCTGCAACGTGTCTCTTGAGACCCTCGTGTGTAGTTGTTACCTTCCCACAGAATACACAGTGGGGCATGGCTTGTCTGGTGCGAGTGTCAAGTCGTATTGTACCGGCCCTAAGTGTCTTGACGGCACACAAAATGGAAAAAAACACTTGACCCTCAAGTGAGTCCGATTCAGCCCCGACCGAGTCCAATTCCGCCCTTGTGACCAACTACTGTCAGGGACGCAGTTCATACTCGAACGCCACCATTCCTTACGCCACATAATATGGAGTTTGACCCGAACATCCAGGAAAAAGGCGATCCACATGAGAGGTTTTGCCGTTCGCAGCATGAAAAAGGCGATCCACATGGTGCGCCGTTATTCCGAATGACACTTGACTAAAACTAACTGACTACTAAGACTACTAAGCTAGGGTAGTAATGCCATGAGCCGCCAGTAAGAGCTCCAAAAGTTGAACCTTGCGTGACTCTTCGCACCGCTTTTTCTCTGCATTCCAACGCACAGTTATCATCTCCCGCACCAAATTTTGGTGAGCAACAGGACCTTTCATGTGCTCTGAGAGCTGCGCTTTGCATGTCTCTTTGCAAAGCCTAATCTCTGCATCCCAGCGCTCTAATACAAGTGTTCGCAGGTAGGTCTGCGATGTTTTAATGGGCCCTGGGGTTTGGCGATATGGCAGCCAATGGAAACTGAATCTCAAGAGCAGGCGGTACCTCCCTTGGAGTATGAGGTACCTCCCGTCCCGGAGCACAGGACAACATGAAAGGGACGACTTGGAGGAGGTAACAGGATGTTCGGCTTCACATCGTCTGATTCGTTCGATGGCATGAGCGCTGGGCTACAACATCGGTAAGTGTGAGGCGAGCATTCGACAAGCCAGCCACTTACTATTTATTCATCTTGGCTGTAGTATCGATCTCGCTGTAGTATCGATTGTATGTTGGAAAGGAAAGTCATCCCCGTCCCTCTTATTTATGCCATTATATTGACACCGCTTCGTCAGTTGAAAACTTTAACTTCGTGATCAACAAAACTCGATCAACAAAACTCAAAATTTGTTTGTTGATCCGACAGCCACTGTAGGGTTTTTAAAGGCATGCATACCCCCTCCTTCTGTTGTCGTTATTTCTACTGACTACCGTCTATCATGGCCGCAAAAGCCCCCTCCAAAAAGGGAACTAAAACGGCACTTTTGAAGGCCCAGGAGGAAGTATGTGCAGAGATGGTGTCGACCGCGGGACGCACTGCAAGTGGTCGTCAACGTCGGCCAACCGAGAAAGAGACATATCGAAGTAAGTTATATCAAGCCCGACATGAATGCTCGCGCTCATTAAAATGTTTCTGCTTAACAGTTACAAAAGCTCGTCGAGGAGCAGACCGCCAAAAAGCCTTACAAACGAAGATGCAGAAGCGCGACTTAAAGGCACTGCGCACTACATACCAGACACATCCCGAGGAATTTGATAGCGAGCCTGCTGGGCTTCTTAGCGATGTTGACAGGGACGAAGACAGCATGGTCAGTGTCTTATTTGTCCATGCGCTCCATGTTACTCACAAGTACATAATAGTTTTCGGACCGCTGTGTACCTACAAGACTATCCAATCAACAGGCACTCACATTCAGTATGAGCAAGACCCCTCCAACTGTCTTGGCCCGAAAACCCACGAGTAAGATCCGTACGAAGCCACAGAAAGGTACAATGTCTCTGCCAGTGTGTATCTTGGACTAACACACTTTTTCAGCGCCCTCACCTGTTGTGACTTCGGATGACGACAGTGACGGTGAGGGCAGCAGGCGACAGCCATGATTCGAACAAGTTTGTCGATCGCATGGACGAGACTGAGAACGGGTCTGATTATGGCGCGGACAACACTGCCAATGATCATGATGAAGTGGCCAAAGCTTCTTCAACACCAGTTGTCGGCACCAAGCGCCAACTGGAGGACTCGGAGGTCCTCAATACTGACCCGAAGTTCAAGAAAGGTCCAAATGGAACACGCCAACGGTTAAAGGCTAGCGATTTCGACGACATCACTAAGGATTTGCTCACTACTGCCACATCTATCTACCGCTGTCTAGTTGTGACTCGCGCACCTTTTCCAGAGACACTGATCGTTGAGACGAAGTTAGCAAAGGATGCCTGGCGTGAGGCGTCTAACATGGCAGAGCTTACCATCCAACTTACCCCTTCTCTCGTCAAAATGGTACGTCTCATGTCCACAGTCCTTGCCCTACTTGATTTAATGTTGCCATATAGATGACGAGGCGCACATCACATGTGCGCGGGGAGCTTAAAACAAAGATGCGCGTACTGACGGCCTCGTTCTTTGGGTTCCGTGCAAGCAGATCTATACTCGCCATCAAGGCAAACCGTGACCTGGCCGAGTCTCTCAAGGAAGGATCACGTTTTGTTTTCAAGGTGCGTGTTTAAATTCAATTTCACGATTTTTAGTCAACATCTGACTGGCGGAGTAAAAGGACTGGGAAATGAAACGTGGCATATACAAGACCGAATTAATCCAGTCGGCGGTCAACGATATGTGGTTTACAAACCGAAGCGACGAGGGTATAGTATATGCTAAATACTTTGATCCTTTACCCGTTCAAACCATTGCACTTATACTCACAGCGGTGAGTGTATTCAGTGATTCTGATGTTCATACTGCAACTGAGGTCTGACAGATTGAATGCTGCATCGATGAGTGGATGACTGGTGTAAAGGAGGACATCAAATTTTCGTCGGTGGCTTACTCCCCGGTCTACCTTATCCATCTCAAATCCCTGCGGCGGTTCGAGGAGCGGACTGCTGCTTACAAACTGCTCGGTAAAATTGGTGTCAATCTTCTCGACATCGCTCGGTATGTTTCTGATTACTTATGTCGTTCATCATCCAAACTGACTTTCATAAAAAGGATGCACGCTGGTGTGGATCCACTTATGGCAGCAGTGACTATTGATAGCTTTACCGATGATGTTTTCGATGATGCGATTCGAGAGTACGAAGACGAGGCTCGAGAAGCACAAGAAGGGGGTGGTGACTCGGATTGAGGCGGCTTTCGAGAGTACGAAGACGAGGCTCGAGAAGCACAAAGGGGGTGGTGATTGAGGCGGCTGTATCTCGAGGATTGTATGCATGCTCACGCACTATAGCACCTTAATTGATTCGATTTTGTTGATAACCGGTTAGCGGCGCGATTGGTATTGCGGGAGCTACAGTACTAGTAGCAGTGTGTAGCTACCTGTAGCTCGAACGAGCAAATGCTAGCACTATTTCTATTGCACCCTGTAGCAACTTGTAGTAACTTGTAGCACCTGTAGCACCTGTAGTCAGTTGCTACAACGAGCTACAGGAGTTGCCGTAGCACTATATAGTCAGCTGTGTGGCTATATAGCCGCCTATAGTAGGCACTTGACACATTGTGCTACAGGTACTACCTTGACTATATAGCACCCTGTAGTCAAGTGTATTTTTCCTGATGTGTATGAGTCAGTGAACAACTCAAAATGATAGTAAGTGTGGGGTATTTACCTGCCATGACCAAAGGCAACATGGTTGATGAAAGGATCCTTCAGCTGCCCACCAGCTGTCAGATGGCGACTAGGATCGAAGCGCGATGCATCTGGAAATAAGTCTTCGTCCCGAGACAGTGCCCTGAGTCATGCTCAGCTCAAGCAATTGGACGCACTGCACCGCATCATACCACTGGTTAACCATTACCATCGCACCTAATCGAACTGAAGGTAAGTCAACGGCAACCTTGACACATACGACTTCAAACCTTTGGGTATAAAGTACCCGCCGTAATTATCATCATTTAATGCCGCATGTGGTACTCCTGTTCAAGGGGTCAGCCATGTAAACGCAGGGTTATATTACTGCAGATCGACCTAGAGGGGCGATAGGATACCATCTCAGGATCTCACGGAGAATGGCATCAAGGTAGGGTAGTGAAGCCCTATCATCAAGGCATGGCATTTTATCATGCCTCACGACTTGATTTATTTCTGCTCGAGCCTGGGCTTGGACGTCAGGATAGAGTACCATAGCCAACAGGAATGTCTGCAATGTGGACGTAGTCTGTGGGACATCAAGGTGAGGGGAAGCGATGATTGGCACTCCCAAAGTAATGCCTCACCGTGTCTATACCGGCTGAGATGCGGTATCCGCGTCAAATGATGAGTCCCATCCTGCATCCTGCTGAAAAAAACTCTTACCTGTGTACCCCGTCAACGCAACTGCCTTCATCGTGTCTTCGTCAGCGTTGTCGTCAGCTTGACTGAGGAAGTCGGCGACCAATGAATGCGAAGCAGTACCATTCGCCTACAGGCAAGCAGATCAGGCAAAACGCCCATCCTCAATGCGCAAACGTACCACCTGTGCCTTCACCTTGTTAAAGGGCTCGTTCAAAAGCTGCCGAGATAATTCTCTACTGCGTGCCATCAGGGCATAGGCTCCGCTAAAGCACCAATTTGGCAACTCTTCGACTGCAACCGACGTGCTGAAGGTTCAAATCGACGTCATCGACAGCATCGGCGCACTCACGAACAGGAAAGGCTGTGAACATGACAGCTCTCTCGGGAGAAATAATACGCCTGCCAATATCAGCGAGTTCACTTGCGCGGGCAAGAAATGGGTCTTCGTTTCCGTGAGCAGTGTGTCCGTATGTCACGGTTATGATCAGGGATGCCGCATATCTGTCACAGTTTTTGGCGTTAACCGGACCAGACGTCACAAAACCAATGAATTGGGCACCAACGCTTGAGTGTGTTTCTGCAAGTCACTGGTATTCAAAAGATTGATGACTAGTTCATTGGCGTGGCGAGAGTACATCTCGCGGTATGAGGCAGAGGCTTCGGCCCTAAGGACTTGATGGAAGATCTTGCGATGTCGTCGCAAAGTCTCGCCATACGGAAGGAGCCCCGTGTTGAAAGCCAGTCCAGCTCTGCCTCGTCAGCTGATCAAAAACTGGCTGAACGATAACCAGCAAGACATACAATTTATTGGTGCGAATGACAGGGCGATCCGAATAGATCGCAGAACGCTTGTCCAACAACTCTCGCGCAATCGATTCGGAGTTGATGATGATGAAGTCGATCCCAAGAATCCGGGAGTGAATAATATTTCCTATGATCAAGTATGAAATAAAATCGGAGCATTTGACGAAGAGGTTATCGGTCTACCAACCATACGTCTTTCCCCACATAGTATAGGTGAGCCAAGGTCGTTCTGTGTCCAATTGAAGAGCATTACCCAAAAATGGTAAGGGACGAGGGCCAGGCGGCAGAGGTAAAGGGTAGACGCGTCTGCGAGTTAGACGCAAAGCGGCAACCAGAAAAATAATACTCAGGATCCCTACAGCGAGAATATGAGTGTAGAGCATGGGCAGGAGTTCTAGCTGAAACCAAGACATGTTCGTTCGCCTTATCAAGGAGATAGAGGAATTCTAAACCCAGGAAGAAGACATTTATTAAGGACTAACGTATCCATCCATTGTTAGAAATCTGTAAGGACTGTAATCGCTCAAAAATGTAGCAAAAGGGTTTAAGTTGCTCACCTTGCAGTGAGACCGGCCCTCTAAGTTGAACAGGACATGCCACCGCACCCAGTAACCTTAAATTACGGCATCGTCTAGTGAAAGGCATCTGCCGTAGCAGGTCATAGCCATGGTCTTTTGAGGATACCACAGTGGTAAGTAGTGGATGTGTCTGAACACCCTGATGGACCATTATGAAATGATTATCGTACGTAATGAACACGCCACACAAAAGGCCCTACTATGTAGAAAGCGTCGGTACGAGACGAATGTGGGTTGCTCCCGTCAGTTGACGCGATTCCGTTGCACAAATGATTCGTATCAGATTTCCAGAATCTCTACTATCGTGGGCAGATGATCAGTATCACGTTCGACCCATATCCGACCGTGTTGCTTACCGAAGTATCAGATGCGAATGGAATTCAAGCCTCTAGTAGCCTTTTGCACAGGTCATCGCCACGCAAGACAACATGCGCCATCATGCCACCTTAATACGAAGGAACAATTGTCTTCCTTCGATTGGTCTGGCTAGGGGAGACTATCATGCCACTGGTGACCAGTGGTGGACCACCTTGGACCACCAGTCAAAGTGGCAATCAAAGTGTGATTAACAAAGACGCACGCTACTGAGCTGGCCCACTAATCCATTTTAGGCACGGTCGACGATAACAGCACGGTCGACCCGTCAAACCCGTCCACAGTATTCGGGGTATAAAAATGAACCTCGCAGAGTCTGTAGAGGTCACCACAAATCGTTGGCTACATCTTGTATTTCTTTCTCAACTCCAGTTATACTCCACACTATCTTAGAAAATATGTCTACAACAAACGTCATGACGCGTTCCAATAGCACTACTTCGATGAGCATCACCGACGCTCTGAGACTCTCCCCCACCAACAGACTTACCCCTGCTGAGCGAAAGGCCTTCGGTAAATCAGACTCCAAGGCTGCCAAGGTCCTCGGTATTACACTCACGCGCAATCACGAGAGGCAGGCAAACCAAGATCGGAGACTTGCTCTACTCCCATCCCCAGATCAAGAGAATGATCATCGCGGTAACACCCGAGGAGAAACGATGGCTCTCGTAGATGTAAAGCGTCCATGTAGCCGCAATGCAAGTGACGTCACAATCGTTGGACCACTTAAGGACCTTGGCCGTGGGCTTGCATCAGGTATGGGGATGAACTTCGTAAAGAAGCGAAACCATAAGCGCAGAGTCGCTGAGGAATATACGCAACGCGTGGTCCTGGGGCCCTCGCGCTCCAACGAGTCACCCGGCAAGGAAGAATCGTCGACTGCCGGTAGCGATGACAGTGTATACTCGTTCTTGGAGCTAGACAAGACTGAAGACACCGAAACGCCCCCAATTGCAGGCGAGTTTCTGGCCCTGGAGGGAAATGATGAAGAAGGGGAAGATGATCTATTCGGCAATTTCCCAACATCTGGCTTTGTTTGGGACGTTGATAATCCGTTCGCGACACCTCCTACTACCGCTCTTCAGCGATATTTCGAAGAAATGCGGCTCAGTGAAGCCACTGGACCATTGGATCCCTCGCCAGTCGCACCTATAACTAATCTCGAGGCATCATCCGAAGAAGAAGGTCCTGAACTCTTCTCTGACGACTCGTTCGACGACATCCTTCGACCGGCGGAACGGGCCTACCTCGATTTTTTGATTACCCAAGACGAAGCCGAAGAGCAGCCGATGGAGATGAGAAGGGAAAGAAGGGCAGCATTGCGGTCCAGGAACAAGATACTGGATGTGTTGGGTGCCGAGGCGCAACAAGCTGTCGATGGGCGATGCTAAACTGTTATTACAGCTGTTTGCAAAACTAATGTCAATCACAAAAATTTCGCCACTTCCTTGACCAAAAAGGAAATCGATCCAGCGAGAAGAAAAACTATGTAACTTAGTAAGCAGGTCTTCCAGGCGTTGCTGGTCGTGTAAGGTAGGGTCACTACAAAATCGACCAACCTCACGTGACAAATGTATTGAAAGCGTGACAGAACTGCAAAACTGATGAAGGCTCTAGGATAACATGAAGGAGAGAAAATCGGAAACCTGTGGATGATGGAGCACGCTATGTAGTACAGTTCACAGGGACCCGATTCATTAAAAAGTGCATGTAGTGTAACTTATGGACATTAGATGGGATTGTGGCATTTATCAAAGTGAGATTGCCAAGAACTTTGCATCACCGTTGGCCAGCAATTACATTCCACCTCATCTGGTTCCATTACCCTCACCAAGATGGCTCCACGCAGCAAGAGGAACCGCGCGAGCATTGCAAATCTTCAATGCAGATGTCAAGAGCCGGGTCTACACAAGGGAAACAAAGAGAACCGGAACTTGAACGTGAGTTTAGTGTTACCTTTTTGCGGCATGCTTCGGAGATTGACGGCTTTTTGTCCAGACTCCCCTTGTCTTTATGTGGGCCTCAACTGACATATGTGCTGGAGCTGGAGATGAAACAGATATCAGAGATACTAGCTTGCCAACTCACACATCACCTGTGTCTTGTGTCCTTGCTGATATGGAAATTTGCTCGAATGTTGAAAGAACTGTGCCACTTGCTCCTACCAACTTTGAATCAGTGAATATGATCATTGATGACGACTCAGAGAGGACATCACTTCCAACATCTCACAATGAGTCCAATCCACCACATCTTCCCAACCGCTACTCAGCATTCATGTCAGATTGCCCTGATGATGATGATACTTACCTAGATCATGAGTCCGTCAGGTCTCTTGCTGATGATCTCAGTTGTGTAGATGGCAATTTCGGTGACAGCGATCAACATGATGAATCAGCTGAATCCAGTTGGCAGGATCTGGAGGCAGGCAAAAAAGATGTCGAATACACCACCAGCGCTGCATGTCAATACCGAGCTCTTATCCATGTGGCCCCCACTCTTCCTGTTGCGGAAAAAGCACTCGATGATCTAAAGCTCATCTTGAAGCCGTTGCGGAAGAATGGAGTGGGACAGATATGGGTAGACTTGCCTTTCTTGCTCTGGGAGTGCCTAGAGCAGATCAAAACATTTTTGGGAATGTTTATCAGCAAGTTGAAGAAGGCGGATATGCTCAGAAAGGGGTCCTCACCTCAGTGGATGGCAGCATCATTGGCAACAGCTAATGTGCATCAGAAAGGCATATATTATGCACGCCAACTACATGCATGGGCCAAGGCATTTATCATGGACAGTGATGATCTCCCTTTCAACTGATATGGCCGATTGAAAATATCGAAGCTTGACACTGAAGAGCTCACAAATGAGCTTCACCTGCACCTACAATCGGTCAGGAGATATGTCAAGGCAGGGGATCTCGTCACGTACCTCTCTGACAAAGAAGCCCAGAGCCGTTTTGGACTCAAATCAACCATTTCCCTCATGACGGCAAAGAAATGGATGCATACACTTGGGTATTGCTGGCGCACTGACCATCGTGGTCAGTATGTTGATGGACATGAATGAGGAGATGTGGTTAATTATCGCCAGAACATTTTCATTCCGGAAATGGTGGCATTACAAGCTTGAATGAGACGGTGGATAAGTGATGGACTCACATCGGAGATCAATTTGGAACCACACGAACGTCCCGTCGAAGTTTGGCTGCAGGATGAAGTCACGTTCTATGCAAATGATAGGCATCATTCCGGATGGCATCATCTCAATGCAGGTTCCGATCCTCGTCCAAAGGGGGAAGGGACATCAATCATGATTTCTGATTTCATTTCTGCAGATCGAGGATGGTGCAGATCATGAGATGGGAAAGAGAGTGCAAGAGTTGTCTTTTGAGCAGGGAAGTTGTGAGATGGATGGTACACAAGTGAAGACATGCTGAAACAGGTGACGAAGGTCATGGACATCCTGGAAAATAATTATCCAGAGTCAGATCATGTCCTCATATTTGATAACACATTGACACACCTGAAACGAGCAGATGATGCCCTATCTGCACGGGAGACACCCAAGGGAATCCAGGAATGGGGAGTTGAGATGACGTTGTTGGGAGAAAATGGAAAACCAATCCATGGGCGGGATGGGAAAATTCTAAAAATGAAGGTGCGGATGCAAGATGGGCAATTCGCTGATGGATGAACACAGCCGTTTTATTTCCCACCCGGCCATGAGCATGCGGGAAAGTTCAAGGGCATGGCGGAGATTCTGCGGGAGAGAGGGTACAATATTTCGAAGCTGAAGGCCCAGTGCACGAAGTTCAGGTGCCCAGAGGGGGCCACTCAATGTTGTTGTCAAAGAATCCTCTTCAATGAGCCAGATTTCATTGGTGTCCCAAGTCTCCTGGAAGAACACTGCCTCGCACGGCACTTCAAGCTAATCATATTGCCGAAGTTTCACTGTGAACTCAACTTCATCGAACAATGTTGGGGATATGCTAAAAGACTTTACTGATTATATCCACCCACCAAGGAGGACAAAGAGATGGAAACCAATGTTCATAAGGCACTGAACTCTGTTCCTATTGAGTGCATGCATTGGTAAGTATTGCTACTGGTGTTTGAAAGAGTCAAACTCACACAGTTACAGGTTTTCGAACCGGTCCTTATGGTTCCTAGACGCATATTGGAAAGGTCTGAACAGAAAGCAAGTAGCATGGGCAAACAGGAAATATTGAGGTCACCGCACTCTTCCGGACAGTATTTTACAAGAACTTGGTGACAACCAGATCACATAGACTCGACTTGACTCGGAATAATATAGTTAATAGCTAAATAGTACATACACTCGATACTTTGCTTCTTACATACATCCATAAGTACCTATATCTTACATCTAATACATCTAATCTCCTTGCATAGCCAGTGGCACCGCCCATGCCTCCACCGTGCCTTGCATCTCGTCAGCTGTCACACCATGTCATGGTTGGTCGATTTTGTAGTGACCCTACCTTACCTTCATGTCATTCTAATCACGACGATCATATCTTCATGCTGAGCTCATTGTGCCTATCGGGTGATCAATCTGGTAGACCCAAGGAGCTCCTCACCTGGATGACAAGTCATCGCTTCCCCTACTCTGTGTACATTAAAGTCTCATATAATCCCTTCTTTACCCTCAATACTCTCAGCTTCAGAGTTGCAGGGCTGTCGTTGCCGGTGGTGTACTTCCCTTCTTTCATGATCTTCTTGCATCTGACCACACCTGACCACTGTGCTCAGCAACTTCAGTTGTATTTTCATGTCAGCTGAGGCAGGCCATAGAGTTTGAAAAGCATGGCGTGAGTTAGGTATTGAGAGCCGAATGAGCGAGGGGCAAGCTGCAAAGCCTTCCACATCGGAAGCAAATGGTAGCATCACAATTCTCCATGCATAACAAACATCATTAGGATCTTTTGCGAGGTCCATGCATGCAAATATATCGGCTCCACAAGTATAGACAGCGTGCATTGCCACTATTGCATTCGCTAGGGCCTGGGGAGGACACTGATCTGGCACTGGGGGTCTGGGGTCTGATGTGCTGGGCAATGGGGAAGAGTGCACACGGGAGAAACCGGAACCTTTGGATAATTAAAATCATTCATCGAAATCATTCATTGCAGTGGGTACTCAACTTGTGGTTCATGACTGTTTTCCACTGAGTCGTACTCACACCAACCATCTGATGCAGCACAAATATGTCGTCCTTCCAGCCTGCAGCTCCAGCCAAGCCTTAGCCACATTCATAAAGCGCTCTTGCTAGTGCCAGAGCACGTACATGCGGCCCCAGGGAGCACTGGGCAACCCTGTCCTGTCCAGACCAGATTCAATTACAATGATGATACAATCATCCAATCAATCCAAATGTAGTTGCATGTCTCAAGATCTCATGTCCCATACTGCAGACTTCCACATTGGACGTATGAAGGCAGTCTAAATCTAGGTTCCTGTGCCATTGGTGAGTATGGTGGCCTCAATGTATGAGCACTAGTGCTTAAACCTGGTGTGCCAGTGCAATGGTATACATGCATTATACATGCAGTCACACCATCAAAGAGAGCAGGATGAATACGCCAACTTCACTATGACCCACCTACACTGGGCTATCCTGTTATACATTCTGTTTGTTTTCGCCTCACTGCCGAGTCTCAATGGTACCAGTATCCCTACACTCGACACCAGCAACACTCCATCCAGCAGCAACATCAGAACCTTATGTGTCATCATCTGGAGCTGTGCTGCAACTCTATTCGCATGTACATAGACTGCGATTCACCCAAATATTCCGACATAAGAACGACTGTTGCCTTGCATAGGATGGACAATTACTCATGGGTTCTTCATGTGGATGGGTGGATTCATTCTCTATGTCAATAAGAAGCCACAAGTAGTGTTTGAAAGTCCGGTCCAGTCCGGTTTTTTGTCTATTTTAGATGCAACTGGACCCTGGACCAGTCTTTGTTTTCTCACTGGCAACCTAAAGACTGGACTGGACTGCATGCAACCGGTTGCCACCAGTTGCGGTGATATCATGCAGTCGGTCCAGACCGGTCTATACAGCAACCTGGTCCATGTACACTGAAAAAATAAAATGCCTCATGGATAACACGACTGGTCAATTGTTTTTTGGTATATACATTAGTATGTGTGCTAGTAATCAGCATCCCTCTCCCCTTCTACTGTCAATGTCACCCCGTAAATCCGCACGTCAAAGAAAACCAACAGCAAAGGCTAGTGCCAATACACTAATACCATGGCCTCGCAATCCAAAAAGCCGTGCACCTAACACTAAGCCCTCACCAAAGAAGAGTCGAAAACGACGAGCTCCAAGTCCTGAGAGCAGCTGACAGCAAGGAAGATTCAGACAGTGATGTCAGCACGACAGTGAATAAATGTACCTGCCAAAAAAAAGGCAGCTGCATCCAAATGAGCACGGCGTCAGAGTGCAGCATCTATCGAGATTGTGAATGATGCACCTGATGTAAGTGAGCCAGAGGTTCTCGATGTTGAAGCACTGGACCAGGAGAATGAGGATGGGGATGAAGATGAAGACGATGCTGGACTGGACGATAAGAATGTACGATTTTGCGATCTGCTAAAGATAGTATATCAGCTCACCATCAGCAACGACAGGACGATGTCCCAGTCCAAGAAACAGACAAAAAAGAACAGCGCAGATGACCTACTCACCATCTTTTCAGAATGTATCACTGTTAAGTTTTGTAGTCCAGATGGTGAAGTCAGCTACCAAGGTTGGACGCTGGTGCATAGAGTGCAGGTCAGTAACTTGTAGCCTATAGTATTAATACAAGCTTACATGTCGAATCACAGAAAGGATCATGTATTTGTGAAAAAGCATGGTGAGAGGAAAGTGTTTCATGTGGGGTCCAATTTGTTGTGTCGTCAGCACATCTGCAGCCATTATGAGTTGTATCAGGAATGGTGCTTGCAGCAGGAGATATGAGAACATCATCATTCAGTTCTGCGGGTGTTGCTGAGGCAGAGAGATGCAGCGAAGACGAAAGAGCAACAGCAGAATCTGGATGGTGTCAGTCCAGAAACAACCAAGGACGAAAGAGTTCTCATGAAGGAATGTATTGCATGCAGTTGCTGAGTTCATTGTTTGTGATGACCAGGTAAGAGATAGTATTGATGGGAATATATGGGTGGCATTATAGCTGATGCAGTTGACAATAGTCGCTCACAGTAGCAGATAAAGTCACATTTCGCAATTGCTTAGTAGCAATGTGACCAAATGCGACCAAGCTTGATTTGCCTTCAACTCACAATATTATGACCTATGTACACAATTCCTTTATCGACTTCTTTTCAAAGCTCAAGTCTGATGTCCAGGTATGTTTTCTTCTCTATATAATATATTTGCTGACATACTACATAAATATACAGAACCCACTAGTGGGACATGTTTCAACTACCACTGACCTTTGGTCTGTTGACCAGACCAAAGTGGCATTTTTTGGACTGACTGCCCATTGGATCGAAGCGGCCTCAACATGGACACTTCATTCTCGCATCATTGCTTTCAAAGGCATCTCTGGCATGCACTCTGGGGATAATCTGGGTCGCTATTTCATTGGATTATGTGAACGAGCTGGAATCATTTCAGGACAATCATCTAAGGTACGTTCCTGCATCCCATTTTTTTCGAGTTAGTTTATTTCAACTTTCCATAGCTTTTCTGTGTTACCGCTGATAACACCAGCAACAATGATATGACCTGTGACAAGATTGAGCAGATTCTTCACTGCCGTCACATCTACTCTTTCGATACCAATAAACAACGCCTCCCATGCCTCGCCCATGTCATCAACCTTGCTGTTGTGGCCCTCATGTCATCAATCACCAAAATTGCCAATGTAGCGACTACAACGGCCATATGGGAATATGATCCTACACTACCTGATAATCACATCCTTGGGGACTCGCTGGATGTCGTGGCTGCTGTGCGAACCCTCACCATTAAGGTATGTCATCATGTTCATTCTATTCCAATGATTCTAAATGTACATTGCAGATTCAATGCTCTGGCCAACGTATTGAGTACTTTGAAACACTTCAATGCAACTGCGGCATTGAAATACCGCTCAAGATCCCGCTTCACAGTAATGTCCGGTGGGGGACTGCTGAGGGTATGCTGGGTCGAGCATATGAGCTTTGCCAGGTGTGTGGCAACATTCTTTTCACATCTTTACCAGTGTGCACTGACTTCATTCGTAGTCCATCAATATGTTTGTGAAGTCAGTGGATGAGCTTTTCGGGCCAGTAACTACAATCCGGCATCCTGGAAGTCCTGCAAAGCATATTCCTGTGGAAAGCATTCACAATTGGGCCTGTGGATTGGGAACACATTAACACTACTTGCAACATTGTCTCTGACGCCAACAACATTCAGCAGTATTTCTCCTCAGGAACTACAACCTACCCTCTGGCGAGCAATCCCAGCCATCGAAGAACTGCAGACTGCATGGGAAGCCAAGTGTGATGATCCAAAGTATGCTCTCTTCAAGCCAGCGATTGAGCTCAGACTGGAAAAGGTCAACAAGTACTATAGAAGGTTCGATGAAAAACCAGTTTATGTCCTGGCCCTTGGTACGTTAGTTCTCCCCTGCTCTATCATATTGCTGATACGTTCTATAGTCCTGCATCCATATTATAAACTCGACTACATCAAGATGGCCTGGGGAGGTCCTAAGGAGCAAGAACTCAAATGCGCTGCTGGTAACCCTAATGCTGTAGACTGGCATGATGAAGCACTGAAGATCGTTGAGAAGACCATGTGAGAGTATTCAAAATGTATGCCCACAGGTGCCACCACTTCACTCCTTGTCTCCCATCAATCCGCTTGCATCTACTGAAACACTCGAGTCCGAGTTTGATCGTCATCGACGCACACTAGTTGACGAAGCTGCCCGTCAACAACGTTCTGGATGGGCTGCTGAGTTGCGGCAGTATCTACACGATGTCCCTGATGATGTCTCAAAGGACGCTGACATCATTCAGTGGTGGTCGGTAGGTTGTTCCTTCATTTCAATTGGAATCTCATTGTTAATATAGTTAATCAGAATCATGCATCTAACTTTCCGATACTCGCCAAGATCGCTATGGATGTTTGTGCAGTGCCAGCATCTTCTATACCCTGTGAATGGCTGTTCTCAGCAGGGTGCAGAGACTGCCACCAATTGCCGGTCTCATTTAGGTTCAGACCAATTTGAACAGTTGCAGGTCATGAAGTTCGCTTGGCGGAAATCCGTTGTTGATCACGCTGCTTCCAACTCATCAAGCATCGAAGAGGTCTTACTTACTGACTACGCAGATCTCCTTCGCCTGGATGATCAAGCAGTGGAGTGGGAGCATGGAGAAGATGAGGTGGCTGGATCATACTAGTAGCTTGAATATGTTTTCCATACCATGTAGTTTGTCCATTTGATATGCAACCGGTTGCACTGTAGACTGGTTGCAACCGGTTTTTGAGCGGTTCATTACCTGTGCCCAAATGAAGCAACTGCCAACCGGACCGGTAAAGACTGACATACAACTGCAACTGCAGTCCAGTTCAAAAAAGTTGCGGTCCAGTTCAGTTGCTGGTCTTTTTCCGGTCCAGCAACTGGACTTTCAAACACTAGCCACAAGCCACTCTTACACCTGATGAACTTCTGTCCTTTGTTTGTAAGGGATGCATGGATATGCCTGTCATCACTGAGGCGGACATAGAAGACCGAAGCAACAGTCCACCAGAGCCTCACATACCTCCAGGCGAAACTGAATACTTCACCACAGAACCTAATTCATATGGCATATTTCACTCGTATCCATATTCCTTTCCGACCTTTGATCCTGACAACCTCACCTCTCTCTCGCATGTATCGGACTCAGTGCATTTCCCAAAGACAGCTGATCAGACGGGTGCACGTCCATGGTGGTCTGGGTTTGGCTCCTCCGTCACGTCAGTAAAGGATGACTTCTTCATACCGTTCTTGAATGCCACTGTTTTTCGGTTGATGTGCTGGTTTTATAGTGGCTCAAACATGAAGTCCCCAGTGGAGCTTGATCGCCTCATTAATGAGGTCATTCTTGCCGAGGACTTTGATAAGGCTCACCTTGCTGGGTTCTGAGCCACAAAGGAGGTCGACCATCTTGACAACTACCAAGGAGACCCTGTGTCATATACCTGATCCGACCGCTCCAATACTAATATCCGCTCCACTTTCCGACCCCTCCGCCCCATTCATCCTCCGCTCCGTCCTATCACAAGTCCACATTCCGCCCTACGCTTCCGCTCAACCGCTCAACCGGTCCCCTTCCATAAATCTCTCCATTCAACTGGACCTCTTTCCCCTTTTAGGTATATGCTCTCCTTTTCGGTACATAGACCCTCACTTCCGGATCACCGGTAATTCCTATTACTGCCCGATCGCTGATCCGACGCGTACATATTGATATCCACTCCAACTTATGTCTTCGCCTATGTAAAGTACTTACAAACTATATCCTTGGTACATAGCTTTACTACATAGATATCCTGATCACTGCCTCACACATAGAAGTATATAACATATCCTGTACTTAGATATTTTGCCTTAGTCTTAATATTACTTGTCTTCTTGCAGTTATATCCTGTGAGGATTCTCAGTAGGACCTTGCCTCCTCTGGACATAAGTCTCAACTTGTTGTCACCTCCGACCCTCTGACCCTCCACTCTGACTTAGAGCCGTGCTCTAAGTCTTTCCCTTATTACCCCACCCCTATCAATATCCTCCTATCACCCCCTTCCCTATCCTCTGCATTATCCTCCAACATCTCCGCTCCTATCAAAATATCTCCCTAGTTCCTATCCACCCTCCACATTGTTCCCCGCCTTCTCTGCTCTGCTCCTAGTCGGTCCACCGCTAGCAGCTCTTACTCCCCGACCCCCAAAGTGGACCCAAGCGGTCCACTCGCCCTACTGTTGGACAACATCGGACCCGCTCCAAATTCAGGGCACATACTCGGCTAAGGGCGCAGCGCAAGAGCTGAAGCCAAGCCCCGACCCCTCTGCCTCTTGAGCCGGCACTGGTACCTAACACCCCGCAGATATCCATTCATCATTCCTGGCTACTGATGGCTGGAGGGAGACATGTGTGAAAATACGTCTACCAGCAGATGGTGTTAAGCACTCATCTGAGGCAGTGGCACCAGAATTCGACTGTACCAGGGCTATTTTACCGTCCTCCTCTTGAGGTCATTAAGACTGCCTTTCGTGAAGCGTCTGCAGAGCGCTTCCATTTGACCCCATTCAAAACATTCTTCCAACCGTCACCTGATGAGCCTGCAGAACGTGTATACTCCGAAATCTACTCTTTGCTGGCTATGCTCAAAGCACACGAGGCTATCAAAGCAAATCCCCCTGTTCCAGATTGCAACCTCGAGACCGTCATTGCTGCAGTCATGCTCTGGTCAGACTCAACACACCTCGCTAGCTTCGGGAGTGCTTCCTTATGGCCAATATACCTATTCCTTGGTAATAAATCTAAATATGTTCGTGGAAAACCTTCGTCCTTTGCAGCACACCACCTAGCATATATACCAAAAGTAAGTCTAACCATTGTTTGTCTGCTGCAATCTTTGCCATAATCTAATTCATGTATTTTTTCAAGCTCACCGATACCATTCATGACTACTATTGTCGGGTGTTTGGCAAGGCTGCGACAGCGGAGATATTGACTTACTGCCTCCAGGAACTGATGCAAGCCATCTGGCTTCTTCTGATGGACGACGACTTCATGCACGCCTACAAATTTGGTGTCATTATTGAGTGCCTTGATGGGATAAGGCGACAAGTCTTTCCACGCTTCTTTTCATACTCAGCCGACTACCCAGAGAAGTACATTGAAGCCACTGACCTTCCCATTTGTACTAATGCGGAGATACTAGGACCCTTCTATCCTGCATCAAATTTCTCGCTCAGTGCCCCTGTCTTCGGTGTTTGATTCAAAAGGACAAAATCAAAGAGCTAGGTACAAAGGCTGGCAGGCGTTGGCGTGAAAACTATCAACGCGAAGACAGTGGTGGCTTGCAAGGCAGGATTAGGATAATCCGTGACTGGTTATATGTCAAGGGCATGAACATCATGAGTGTCTTCATGAAAAGGATACTGGGTCCAAATTCACTTACTGCCTCGACGGTATACATCTATCTTCACTCGAACATCTTGCTGGGTGCTGACTAGATCAACAGAATGCTTTTTCTACACGTCTTAGGTGTTTTGGCTTCAATTTTTATTCACTCTTTGTGCTGGATTTGCTTCACGAGTTTGAACTCAGTGTCTGGAAGGCTGTCTTCACACACCTCCTTCACATTCTGCATGCCTATGGTCACGCAGGCCATGTTGTCGATATAATATATCATTTTACTTTCATTGGAGTAAATCTGTGATATATCCCTGCCTTTGATCTAACACACAGGGTAATGATATATCACTGTATGCCCTGCACATTTGGGTGGGCTATTCTTAGCATGCACCTGGTCACAGTCTGATTTGGGTTTCGGGTTTCGGGTAGCTTCGGTTTGGAAAATCAGGGATCTAGATCTCTAAATCTCCACTTGTCTCTGCATAGCCACACCATTTCTATGGCCAACTGGATTTAGCCAAGAACTATGGCATTATCTGCTTCATCAAATAATCAGACATCATGTGACATCATGCTCTGCCTCAACTCCTGCCCATCACCTTTCCCGCCCTGTGCCTGTTTTCATGACCAGCTTTGGAAAGTTCTTGCCACTAGTGGCGGCAGTGAGCAGGGGTAGGAAATAGTGACGAATTACACTTCCAGAGATGTCCTCAAAAGTTCTGACTCTATGTAGACACGTCCACCTCATTTTTCAGTCTCATTGTGTCTACGCGAAGTCAATTGCTATATCATGCCACCACAATGAATATAACAAAACGTCTCAGCCAACCCAGGCAGCATTTCTCAAGTGTAGTAGCTCACAGATGCTCACTAGTGACTAGCCTGACTTGTTCGATTTTTTTTTGTGTGCCGTTGGACTCACGTGATCTTAAGTTCAACTTTGTCACTACCTTGCGCGCTGTTGGACACAATCTTATGTTCAATAGTTTCCGACATACAAATTTCAGAATGTTCAGGAAGTGTTTGTTCATTGTGATGCTTGTAGATAGATGACAAGATTTTGATGGGTCACATTAACTGACATTAAGAAAACAATTGTCATCACAATAACTACAAGTTCTAGGTTACAAATAGGACAGAGTATCGAGGCATAGTCTAATATACTGCAAGGAATGTGAAATATCAATTTTTAGACCTACACATCAATGTTTAGCAGGATGAAATGGTACTGAAAATTGGTGGAAGACATACTTTTTCCCAGTGGTTGCTTCCGCCGTGCCTTTGCACTTGCGTTTGGAAGTGACTGCTTTGGTGTTATCACCAATCTTGTTGGCATCTTGCACTCTTGTTGATGGTTGTGTCATGGGCGCTGAGCGTCTTCCAGGAGCACTAGAAACTGGTGGAACACTTGCTGCAGGAAGCAGAGTGTCCGGTGCAGTGCCAAGAGCACTAGAAACTAGTGGAACACTTGCTGCAGGAAGCAGAGTGTCCGGTGCAGTGCCAAGAGCACTAGAAACTAGTGGAACACTTGCTGCAGGAAGCAGAGTGTCCGGTGCAGTAGGAATCAACTTTGAAGTGGTGTCTGTAAGACGTGCAGGTGCACTGGAAACAGGTGGAAAATAATATGAGTCAGTGGCAGCTGGGGTGAATACACCAATCGAGCTGTCCAGGCCCTGCACGGGTGGCTTGATAAGTGATTCAGCAATAGCCGGAGGAGGGCTTGTGAATGGCGGAGTGAATGGCGGAGCAGCCCGCATGGGTGAGTCTTTAAATGATTCAGTGATAGTCAAAGGAGGGTTTATGAGTGGCGGAGCAGCCATTTGCATGTCCTGGCTTTGATTAGGCCACCATTGACCATTTATGCCATCAGCCGTCAGTGGACGAAGGGAAGAGATGAATGCATCAATCTCAGCATCAGAGACTGGAACATTGGGGTCCATGAGAGAGTCGTGAGGGAAGATGTGCATTCCAGGAACTTCGGGGCCTGAGTCGTTCTGGGCGTTTGGTGGTGCGAGGTCAGAAGTCGCTGGAGGAGACAGATTGGCACTCGATGAAGACTTGGATGACTTGGAAACTTGACCAAAAACACTTCTCAAGTGCTTTTCAAATGGCGCTAGGTACTGTTCATGAAAGTCAGGGTTGGAAGCCTTGAAGCTGAGGCCGTCTCGACCTTTGCCATGGTGAAAACTGTAAGGGTAAAATGAGATCCAGTTTGGAAATAATATTAACATCCATTTACCTTAGAGTCATGATATCCCCTTCACACATGGGGTCAGGACCCCCCATGACAAGGGTATAATGCCAGCCACCAGTCAGCACCGCCAGGTCTTCACAAATCTGTCCCAAGACAATGGGCAGTTCTTGAATGGCACTATATCAACACAGATCAATATTTACTACAAAGGCGAAACACAACAAAAAAAAAAACCAGGAAATTTCCTCTTTGGTATGTGTTTTAGACACAACACTTGCTAATCTCCTGGCAGTGTTGATCTGTGTGGTCTCCTCACAAATCTCCGCCTTCACATCTTCTGGCTCAGCGGCAAAACAACTGTTTGTGTACTTCTGCACAACAGCGATTCTCTTCTTGGAATCGAGGTGATTCTCCTGGACGTTGTCCTCTACTAGTGGTTGAATCTTCGTTTTGTAGTGTGATTTTGAGTAGACCTCAATTTCCTTCAGGTCACAAACACCACGAGCATGCTGGCCTAGAAGCTGAGCAAGAGCTTTGCCTGTTGACTGTGGTGCCTGGTGTCGTTTTACTTTTTGTGTTATTCCGGAACCATTCTCTCAATTTCTAATCATGTCTTTAGCAACTACTCTTTCAGGATAACTGACAAATGAACTTACTTTCCATCGGATTTCATTTGCCCCTTCAAGCTCAGCTTCTTGTTCTGGTGTAAGTGGCAGTGGGCTGATCTCGTCACTGTTAGTGTCACCACTGTCATCATCCTGATGAACATTTTCACGCGGAGGTTTCCCAGTTGGTCCCCAATATCTGAGGCATTCTGGAAATTGACTAAACCACCTCGGATACAGGAGCTCATAGAAACAAGTTAATTTTTGCTCTTTCTGCATCTTAAGAAACTCAGGTAGCTCGTTTTGAAGCCACTCAAGCTCTTCTGGTGTGGTCCATCGAGGAGGCGCCATCTACGACTAATATCCATTAGCCTGACAACCCCTTTGATATGATAAAAAATGACACACTAGATATTTTTATGATTGAGTTCGTTCCTTTCAGTCAATTGGTGAGTTATTGGGAGCGAACTAATATTCAACTGAGGCCATTCATTCTCTAGCCAATCACAATTTTAGCAGATGTTTCCGAAGCGTCTAGACCAGCTAAATTTTCCCAGTTTCTCCCCACCCTTTACTTCCTAACGCTAGTACTATAGCCCTTTTTCCCAGACATGAACCAAGACTGATGGCTCCATCAAATGCTGAATGTCATGGGCGCTGCTGTGCAAATGCTGCCACACCCATGCTTTACTGGTTGAGCAGTTTCTATGGGCCATTTACCTTGTGCAAAGCGGACAAGGTAAGTTTAGTTTAGCAGATCATTGTAGCGCTCATTATAAACAGACTTCAACAGTTGGACCAATGGTTTCACCGCAACCTATTGGCTGGGAATGCAGCCAATGCAACCCTGATGATGCTGATTGTTTAGTTCATGCTTTTCATTGTAGGTGCTGCATCTACAGGTCAGTAATTTAAATTTAGATTCAATATCACAGACTCATGAGCATGCGCACAGCCCAATGACCTTGTGATGCCGGATCACCAGTAACACCTGACGAAGACGTACCTGCCAATGAAGCGAACAATCCGTCATTGGGGAGTGACGACATCAGCTACTCACAGCCCCGCCAAATTCGCACTTACTATGAGGATAGTAGTGATGATGAAGCTTCTGCTCCTTGCGGAGAAGGCATTCCGGAGACCGGTGAGGAAGCACCTGATTGCGATGTTGAAGAGGCTCCTGGACGTGAGACAGACAATATTTAATCAGTGTTTTGGATGTCATTTCTTGTTACCTTTGTGTTGTATATACCGTCAATGTGTTCAAGTTGAAATTGGTGTTGCTTTTTTGGACTGACTGCACTTGATCACACTAATTCAGTGCTCAATCACACTAATTTGCTCGATCAATGGCTGAAGCGCTGAATGGTGGTAGGACTTTTATTTAAACTCGATGTAGATCATGTAGAAAGACTGTACATTTGTGATTAACATATTAATATGCCCAATATAACAAGTGGCCTTTGAATGGGTGATCCATTTATTGCAGGGATATGATATCAATAGGTGTGTGTTTAAAATGGTCTGACTGCAAGTGTGTTACAATGAGGGACTAATTCAGTGCTTGATGGCTGAATGTGGTGGTAGGACTTTTATTTAATTCAATGTATCTCAAGTAGAAATCGTGTACATTCATATTTTCAATGTGAAAAATGGCCTTGACTTGTTTGTTTGAACGGGTGATCCATTTATCGCAGGGCTATGACATCAATACTATATATCAATTCGACATATAGGAGTTTTGGTCCTACCAAAATGCCAACATTGTAGTTTTGCCACGCTCGATGCAAAGATTCATTAACGTTCATTGCTTCTTTTCAGTTTTCAATCAACACTACTGCTGCCACAATTACTACTCTCTAGTCAAAATGGCTCGACCCCTTATTCATAAAACAACCCAGGCAAAAATAGTCGCCACACATGAAAAGCGAGCCCACTACTATGCCAAGTATGTTTAGCCTTTCCATTAATTTCTGATGGTTCCTGACAAATGATGGTAAAGTCACAGAGATATCATTCTCAAGAGACACTGGGAGCTCTGTAGCTCCAAAAGCAAGGAAGCACAGGCAGAGGCAAAACACTCAAAGGAACTCTGCAAAGCTATTGCAAAAGCTTTGTGTGTTAGCGACACTGACTCCGAGTCCGACGATGAATCCGACAACTCATCAGATGAGGACGAAAATAAGCTGTATGTTTTGTTTATAAATAGACATAAGATAACACATGAAATTAATGTTCAACAGATATGATCTTCCAGAATGCTTACTGGTCATTAAAAACATCAAGGACGACATGTTGAAAATGATCGGCAATGACCCTTGCGCATTCACCCAGGGCATCTTACAGGTCTATGTCCAGAGCATGACGGTGGATGATTGCTCCACCAACAGGGATATCTCCATCATAGAATCTGCAATGGCCAAGGTTCAAAAATCACTCGACAATACAATTCCCACGCAAGATCAGATACTCAACTTTTGTGGTATCTCACCTGAGTGGCATGCTGCTGACTCTGTTGTGCGTTTCTTGAAGACCATGCTTACTTATTTAGAGGACTTGCTATGTCTGGCAGTTTATGAAGGCGTTTCTGGGCTCACTGAAGCTCACATGTTGGGGGAACTGATGTATCAGAAAGGTGTCTGGATTTGATTTTTGAACTAATGTATATCTACAACTTCATTACATGTCTTGCTATGTAGCCATGAAAATTTCTTGCTTCATCAATGTTGGCGGTTTTTGGACCAGTCATTAGTAAGCCACTAGCACACTACCTAGCACACCGCCTCACCTTGCCACTTCACAATTTTGCCGAGTCATGGCCAAGACCAACAAACGACGAACTGAGCTCGAGCGATACTGCCAGGCATTCTATGCTCACAACAAGGCTGCTGAGTGGGCAGCACGTCGTCTGGAAAATGATACCCTGCAAGAGAATTGTGACGAGCACCAGCACAGACATGCTAGCTTTGAGCAGAGCTTGAACAGTTGCCTTTCAGTGTCCACTGCATATTACACAGTGTCCGATCCATCCAAACAACCCCAGGAAGGAGACACAGTAGACAACACTTTGATTGAGGAGTTTGATTTTTCAGATATCCAAGCTGACCACTATTTCAATGACAATTCTGAGGAACCGATCACACGGAAACGGACAGCAGGGGTATGATTGTGATATTCTGACATAGATCTGGTTTCATTTTGATCTTTTTCCATAGGATGATCCTCTCTGTGTGTGGCAATCTGATGCTGAACTATTTCTTGAAGAGTTCATTCGCCTTGAGGGCCGCGGAAGACACACTCAAGATAGCTGCTTCTGTGGCAGTGATGAACCATCCCTGTATAGATGCAAGGACTGTCACGGTGTTGAACTAGTGTGCCACCAGTGTGTCCTATACATCCATCAGTGGCAACGGTGTCACTGTATCAAAGTACAATTCTTTTGTTTCAAAATCTCTACTTGCTCACAAAATTCGTTGCAGCATTGGAATAGAAGTTTTTTTCAAAAGACATCACTTAAATCCCTTGGGCTATGCATTCAGCTTGGACACCACATTGGTCTATGATGCAGCAAACCAACTCTGGCGTCGACGAGTGAATGATTTTGTCATCATTGACGTCAATGGTGTTCATGCCATTGGGCTTGATTTCTGTGGTTGCCAAACTGCTCAAGTCCATGTCACTCAACTTCTCCAAGTCCATTTATTCCCTGCAACAACAGTCAAACCTAAGACCGCCGCAACATTCCGCGCACTTGAACACTTTCAGATCCTGTCCTTCGAATCAAAAGTGTCTGCCTTCGAGTTTTATCAGATGGTGGTGCTATTGACTGACAACACAGGCATTCACATCCCAAAGGCATGTTTTTTCTATGCTTGCCTGCTGGACAACTACTAACAAGCAAATCCAGGACCATTATGAAGCTTTCCTCCGCATGATACGAGAATGGCGCTTTTTGAAGCAAGTCAAACAGTCCGGCCAGGGCCATCATCCTGGATCCATTGCTGCTATGGAGCCTGGTTCCTGTGCGGTTACATGTCCTGCTTGCCCCCATCCCGGAAAAAACTTACCAGATGGATGGGAAAATGCTCCACCTGAGTCAAGGTTCTTGTATGCGCTCTTCCTTGTGATTGATGCAAATTTTCGACTTGCTCGGCGGAATGTCTCCTCAGACGCTGTTGATCCTGGACTCAACCACGGCTATTCATTTTTTGTCAAGGAGACGGTGTACAAATCTTTTTAAATTCATGCGGAGGAACACCTTAAGAGGTGAGTCAGAATCATCAAAGTGAGATGGCTGTTAACTTGTTTTATTTAGAAAAGTACATGTTCAAGTCACAATGCAATCAATCTGGCTGATACCAAGGCGTCACGTGGTCTCGCAGCGACCGGCGCTGGCACAATAGATTGTGCACAACACAATTTCAAGCGCCCAAACTCGGTTGGTGACTTACAAAAAGGCGAAAGGTAAGCATTCAGATTGTCCGTATTGTATTTGCTTTTAACATATTCACAGGTATATCAATATGGATTACATGTTCTTTTCGAGCATGCAGACAGCATCAATGCTCCAGGTGATCAACATATCCTACGACATTGCATGCCAATGGAGCAAGAACCTCTGGACTCACATGTCCGCATTCCCTCAGCAGTATCACCTGGATCACGACACGAAAACCATAACATTTCTAGTACCAAAGTTCCATCTTCCCGCTCACATCTTGAGTTGTCAGACTACCTACTGATTCAATTTCATCAAGGGGGTCGGAAGAACCGACGGTGAAGCCCTGGAACGCGGATGGGCCAACATTAATCCCATTGCAACTAGCACTCGTGAGATGGGTCCTGGTTCAAGGCGCGACACCCTCAATGACCATTTCAATGGCTGGAACTGGAAGAAAGTGTGCTTGATGGGTAAGTCATGTTAACTAGAATGATAATTCTTGTGTTTCATTTGGTTTAGGTAAAATTCTTGCCCGTAAGCTCAAGGCTGCCTTACTGGAGGTTCTCGAGCGCAGGTGTGACTTAAACAACTTTGAGGCTGCACTCAATTCCAGCCAGTTAGCTTGCTGGAAGGAGGACATTGTGGCTTGGGAAGCTGACCATTCCAAACCAAATCCCTTCGAACTAAAGGTCACCGGTGAGTCTATTCCTGCATGTGTGATTGTCCCTATCTAATTGAGTATCATAAGCCGTGAGCCAAGCATCGGTTCGATTAGCATCGTCAAAGGCTGAGGCAGACGATATAGAACATGGCACGAGCATGTCTCTCCATGATGATATATCACCTTCGATGCTCATTTTGTCTGGGCTAGATCTCGAAGACCAGCAGTACATCATTTATTCATTGTTGCAAAGATTATTCTAAACTTTTCTTAGGCGATGTCTTGCGTTTGAGGCCAGGAAGATCGGACAACATCCCACCAATGCTCAACAAGTAACGCTGTTGCAACACATCAACTCCCTTCGTCGATGCATTGACACGTGGTCGCATGTACAACTATTGTACATGCTGTGTGTGTCACGACTTCGTTCATCTGACGACATTGCTACCAAACAGAAGGTTCACAAAATCATTCTATTCCTCCCATCTGCGATACCCTCTAATTTACCCTGTGAGGAGCGCTTGTTGAATCACGAATGGGATTTGCACGAGGCACAGGCCAACAATGCGCTGAACAACATTTGCTGTGTCCTCAACATGAAATATCACCTGTATAAGTACAAAGACACTTTTATTCGCGGTCAACGTGCCAACACTCGCACAACTGGAGTAATCAACAATGCGGACAATCTGATTGATGCCCTCGCTGCCAAATACAACGCAGTGCACAATGCACTTGTCAAGCTAGCGCCAAGGTTGCACAAGGATGACAACTGGCTACTCACTTTCAAGCCGCTCAATTGTGCAAAAGATGCTGTCCTGCTGAGACAAGACAATGGGGCAACAGTCAGCCAGCAAACAGTGTCCTGGATCTGGAAGACACATGGAGTGTCCGATAACACAGAGTATGGCTTACAGGACTGTGAGTACACGTAATATGTTTTTTTCTTGTTTATTGAATCTGTTACAGCCTTGCGTGTTGAATGGTGCAGGGCCAGAGCTTGAGCACATCGATGGGAAGAAGCGGTGCAGCCAGTGTGTGAAGAAATGAGGTGTGTGCTTGCTTTCTTTGAGTGGCAGGCTGTTTGGTGGGACATGCAGGGTTCACGTCGCACTTTTGGGTCACCAGAGATAGCAGAAGGTGCAGTTGCATATGCGCATTGGCAGGCTTCACTGCAACGGAGCCTGGCTTTTCATTTTAGGTCTATATGGGGGGCTATTCCATCGTCTTAATGTCCCATTATAATGGACTCAGTTTGGTATGTCTATGGCTGTTTTTTCACCCAAATACTACTTGTTGTGTTTGTTTTCAAACATATCTGAATTGGGAATGAAGATCAGTAAGGTACTTATTCATACAAGATCTCGAATTGTCAGATCGAACTGTTCCTGTCAAACAAAGCATGATCGCTGATCACAGTATCTGTAAGTGGACAGTGGTGTAGCATGCAGTATGCGGTGATGTATCACCACATCAAGCCAAGTATGCAGTGATATATCACCACGTCAAGCCAACAGCACATGTTAAGCCAACGGCGCTGATATAACATGACCTCTCGCTGATGACAACAACTGATATATTATATGCCCAGGATGTTGTGGGTCACAATCACATAGGAAGATTGAACGAGAGGTACATGTGCTGAGTTGCTTATTTCAGACTATCATCTAGGTATTGACAAGTTCCGACATTTGGACGAGGCACAATCCGGCAATTCAGTTCCAATGCATCAGCAATGAAACGACTTGCTGCTAGAGATTTTGAGGACTTACTCCAGGTAAACTGGCTGATGTGGAGCAACCAGTGACTATCTAACTATTTGTTTAGTGTGCGATACCAGTTTTTGAGGGGCTACTTCCATCGCCATGGAATGAAATGTTAATTGACCTTCTCTTTGAGCTTGCCACATGGCATGGACTCGCAAAGCTTCGCATGCACACAGATACGACTCTTGGATTTCTCAACACCTCAACAACATGTCTTGGAAAATATCTCCGACAATTTATGTCAGAAACTGCAAAAGAGTTCACAACCCATGACCTTCCTAGTGAGGAAGCTGCCCTGCGAGCTTCACAAGGCCCTGAGCAGCTGCAAAAGGTGGTAACATGATGTCCTCGAGAGCTAGTATGTCCAGTGGAGCAAAAACCCGATATTTTAACTTTCAGACCTACAAACTCCATGCACTTGGTGACTATGTCTCCATGATTAGGCGCTTTGGTACTACTGATAACAATTCTACTCAACTCGTATGTACACACTCTAAATGTCAACAGTTCCTAATACATTTTACCAGGGCGAGCTTGAACACCAGTCGTGTGAAATGTTTCTATCCACGGGTCAGTAAGGCAAAGTTCACATCCGGAATCGCAAAACAACAGCACCGAGAGAGAATTTTGTTTCGACTGGCAGAATGTGAGCTGCCTGCAAAGTCGAAGAAAGGCAAGGCCAAGGCCACTGGCATGGTCCAACATCACACTACGGCTCAATAAAAGGACCTTCCCAGTGTCACTTTCGAAGAGTCAGAGCCATTAGTGTTCTCTGATCCGAAAGCACACTATCACATCACCACAAGCACAAGGTACTTTTTAAATGTACCTCAATGGCTTGGGAGGAATGCAAATGATCCTGCACTAGAGGTATTCACTGATCTCACTTTTGTATACTACCTTTTGATGTCATTCATTCACAGGATTTTCTTCCTCACCTCAAAGATCATCTGCTCGTTCATATTCTCAGGACATGAGTATGACGGTGATGAAGCAGAGTTTGCTTCAAAGGAATGAGCCCAGGTGCTCTTCATAAATGATTGCATTTTCGGCCACAAGGTACTTCAGACACCAGATACAGGTAGAAGGATGTATCTTTATGGCTCATTATCCTAAAAGTCCGATACATCTTATTCTGTAGTTATCCACTATATTCCAATACATCCTATGCTGTAATTATCCACTATATTGGACATCTCCATTTGGGAATGTGATGCATTACTTAGTACAGCCACTCACAGGCGCATTTTCAGCCACCTACTGTGGGAACTTCTCCACAACACCCAAAACATAGCCCATTTTGGGTATTCTCCACAATATCAACCTTTCCCACACCTAGTGTTGTTCCGGCCTGGCTTGGCTCGAAAGCCCCGGCTTCAGGCCTGGCTGCAGATGGCCAGGGCTTTCAGAAATCATAGGCCGGGCCAAAGCCCTCAACCATGGCTTGGCCCTGGCCTGCCTGCCTGGCCTGCCTGCCTGAGCCATGGCCCGAGTAGGAAAAATGAGCAGGTCAATGACATGAATGAATAATGGTAAATAAAACAAAATTCAATCAATATATATGTCATCCTCATCCTCCTCCAGTAGCAAGACATCCCAACCATCTTCTTCGTCATCACCCTCACTCGCCAGGTTTTCATTACCATCCAGTTCAACATCAAACTCGTCAGCTTCCTCAGTGGACGATGATGGACCAGGCAGGCAGAAGAGAAGGTCGTGACGAATGGCACACTTGACACATTGCAGTGCCTCAACAATGTCACATTTGAGGCGATTATGATGCTTGCTGATGGTAATACCCCCCTGCGAGCAGGCACGTTCGCTTGAAATGGATGATGCCATGATGGACAAGTAATCCTGAGCGATGGAGGACCACACTGGTCCATATCTGTGAGCATTCATCTATCAAAAAGTAAGCATCAGTAACAAGGAATGAGCTGGAATATAATATTATATACGTACACCCCACTATGTGACTGTACTCATTCCGGATGGCAGTTTTGCCTTGACAGTGTTGATGTAGTGTTTGAAATCGGCATACCAGGGTCTGGAAGGATCAACATTGGCTGCTGATGCACCAAAACCGAGGTCATTGTCTTTGTCCTTGCTCTGGGTCTCACAAATTAGTTTTTTGAGGCCATTAACTTTGCCTTTCTTGATAGATGCTTGCACCGGTATCGCTGATCTTCCCATTGCAAGATAGCGAGTTTTAAACTAAGTCCTGGATCAATAATACAAAATGAATCGCAACATAATTGAACGTGCCTCTAGTTCCACACAGGCAAGGACCTCGTCTTGCAGGTCTTCAGGCCAGTGTTTCTTAAAATATGCCATCTTGCCCATCGGATCAAGTACTGTACGGAAACATCAGTGGCACGCAGAACAGAATGAACAGGATGAGATGTACACATAGCCATGATGTATGCTGGTGAGTGAGTTGTCTTTTCATAGTACTGGTCAATCTTTTGCGCAGCAGCATGGAGTGCAGTTGAAAAACGGGCATACTTTGGTTGGCCTGCTTGAGACGACCAGGCTCGATGAAGTATCTCGAGGGCAGAAATAGCTAGATGAAGTGTAGTCCCCTTGTCTGATGAGAAAGCCTGTTGAGCTACATCTGCATACTGAAGCAACAAATTAGCGGTAGACTTGTGTGGATGTGAAACAGAACATACTGAGAGTAGATCAGCAAACTGACCGACGCAGGTCTGTTCAGTCAAGGTCAACCAGAGGTAATCAATTTTGGCACATTTTTCCAGATTACGTTCTTGTGTGCCTATCTCGTACACAAAAACATCGACATGCTGGGGCCCAGGATCAAATTCATCAAATACCTCATGAATATTAGACTCACCTCCTTACTGCCTTCCGCACGATTGATCATTACATATGTTGAAGACCAGCGAACCTTCATATCGAGAAGGAGCTGTGTGGGGTTCAAGATGCCAGCCTTAGCTTGAATAGTCTTGTAAAGCTCTTTTCATTTGGCCGATGAGCATTCCTTTACACAGATCGAGCGAATAAGTCCAATATCATCATGGTCACCTTGAATTGACATGTCAGGATCCAAAGCATGGGAGTCATGCGGATTGTAGTGGGGAGCCTTGCTGTATGTGCTAATGAGGAGTTGTGTACTGAGATTGATAATGTGCACTAGGCAGCTACAGTCGTAATGTGAGGGTACACCCGACACGAAATAATATCAGACTTACTTGATCCTGCGAGCCTGCCATGGAAATTCCTTTTTATATTGGACTTCATACAGTTGAGCAAACTCTTCAAGCATTGTACTGTTGTTAGCAGCATTGTCGCAAGTAATGTGGCCGAGCTATAAAAAAAATCCTATCAAACTACGAATCGTTTAGTCACAATAGCATACCTTATGTACAATACAAAGACAGTCCAGAATCTTGAAAAGAGTCCCACCAAGCCACTTGCCGTTGTGTGAATTATTGACTTGCATGAAGCCGAGTAGTGCACTTTCGCACTCCCATTGTGTAGCCGTCTTTGCTTCAATCCAAAGACCTGTCACAGCGAAGTAAGCATCAACATTACCAGCCTGCCAGGCATCACAGGTTGTGTTTATCATGCCGCTAACAGCATCACTATTGAGCTTCTCCTTGAACCTTGTAAGATTATTCTTAAATATCCTCATAATCTTGGCTCAAGTCGCCTTCCTGCCCGGGATCTTGACACCATGGGTTGCTTGGGCAGCAACATCAATCATTTCCTTGAATTTTGGATGCTCGAATGCTTGAATAGGCTAGATAACATGAGTCAAATGATAATGTTACTGCAAGAGGGTGGGAGATATACCTGGTCAGTGGCAACAAGCCATTCAATAGCAGCCTGCTTGAACAAACCATCTGAGTATGGGACAATTCGTTCGGCAACCTTTCATTCAGTCAGATGGGAGGTAATGACATGTTGGTCATCTTCGGCCTTTTCCTTGCGACCCTTGACGTCACCAGGCAACATGGACTCGAAGGAGTTTTGCTTTGCCCACATACAATATTTGCCCTATGTAACACGTCAATACAAAGATGGGTAGAGCACAACCAGTAACTCACTGCAAAGTTGGCCTCAGTGTGTCAATGAAGAGTAGTTGTTTCATTGACAAGTATGCATTGTTTTCTATCAGCTGATCAGTAGGTGAGTATGGCAAAGGATGAGCAGACTTACCGGCAAACCTTGCACTTGCAGTGCTTCTTGACTTTGCTGTTAGACCCAGCGTGATCGAATGTAGCACCGAAAAATGCTTCAACATCAGCAGTTCTGAGCTCACATGTTGACCCTGCATCCACGATCGACTGGACATCGATGTCAATGAGGATGCCATCCTCACCCACTGGCTCTGTGTCTGTTCTCACAGCGAGTTTGCAAGGTTTTTTTGCTAACGGGTAAATGTAAGTCAAATCAAATCATTGAGGGTAAAATAAACTTACGTTTTGGATTTGTGCGCGCATTTT